CGACGATGTAACGTTAATGTTAAACCGACGCCGTGCAATTTATTAATTAGTTCAGACATAATTCCTGAGAAGTCGTCTATCACTGTGGAGCTGTAGGTATGGGTAACTACGAGCTATGAGTCTGTGAAATAGTAAACAAATTTGATCAAATTGATCGTCTGTGAAATCTGGTGAAATCAATGTGCGCCAACCAGTTTTCTCAGTAATTCAGCTAGCAATTCTCGTGCTGTGTTCAAAAAGACGTTTACAGTGAGGGGCAAACTTAAGAAAAACGAACTATAACACAACCGTAAACAGCAAGCAAACTAACACAGCCGTAAACACAGCAACCCGAAACGTTGAGCTTTAACGACAGAAGTCGCAAACAAAACCGCGTGGAGTCATTCCGGACACGTGTCCGGTATTACCCCGAGGTCACCTTTATTTTAAGAAAGCAGGCAGCAGTCAAAGGCATTGCGTCGCAAACGCGTCACAACCAGCAGTCGCCTAAGAAAAGCTTAATTGAAGGTCATTGCAAAGCAGCACTTCTGAAAATGCGTTAACACATTTCACAGTCAGCAAATAGATGCAACAAAAATTAAAAATCAGATGCGAAAAACACATTTAACGCTATAAAAATGAAAATAATGAAGCTACCGTGACAAACTTGCACCACGTGCTAGAATGGCGCTCAACTGAAATGTAAACAACATCAGCTGATTACTGATGGACAAAGTACTCACTAGAGATGGGTGGCCGGCATTACCCACCGTCCGCCATTGCCCCGCTCTCCCCTACTACGCAGAATTTCAGATAAAAAGCCAGCAAATGAGCTTAAGATGGATGTTGCTAGTTACTACAGCGAAACCCCCTCATTTTTTACCCAGCCCTAATCACTTTTTCACCGCTCACCGCCGTAAGACAAACGTCCGGCGTCTACCCGTATCATGGACGAGAGTTATACGATGCATTTCTCATCCATGTCTGTGTTCTCTTCTGTCCAGCGGCGGATTCAAAGGCGATGATGGGTCGTGACCTTCACCCTGGCCGCGGCGGAGGATCGCCGCGACCCTGACTCCGGCGCCGGTTCCTGGTCAGCTTCGCCCCACGGCAGACTGATAAATGGGACAGATTATCGCCAACGAAAGGGAGAGCCAGGCACGGCCATGGGGCGGGTCGGCGGAATGCGACGTGATACACCATGGGCTGCTGACTAACAGGACTGTTAACGACGACTGAACACCGCGCATCTAGTGTGTGGGTGTCCGCATGCAAACAAGGAACATGGCGAGCGAGAATTTGGTTCTTATTCTGTTAGCAGCCAACCAGTATGAAATAAGGGTGATCAGGATGAAAGAGGCCCCGGCTAAGAAAAAGTCGGTTTGACATAGGGGTTTATTTTGCCTGTAAGACAACGACGTGACAGTTTCTATTTGCTGAGAGATTCAACTGAAAGTTCCGAAACTCTCCGTCTGCAGGTGAAGAATTATCATGACGAACCAGCTTCAAGGCAAAGCTGGATCTCAAGCCAGTTTTAGAAGAAGTTATTCACTGATGAAATCCGAATTCGGTATAAGAAGCCAATTTCTTTATGATGCTCCTACGATCATGAATGATAATTGGATGGATAGGACACTGGGTATTTCTCATCCATGGTTATGAAACAATTAGCAGCGAAACGTGCAGGAAACTGGAATTTGGAAACGGAACGCATTGGAAGAAAAAATGGAAGAAATAAATGGAAACTAAGAACAGGAGCAGCCGCATCTATTCGCCAAAGCTCGCCAACATGAGCCGGAACGAGAACCTGAGGTGCGACAAATATGCATGTCGCATCCTATCCGGCTGGCGCTGTGCCGTGCCGATTAGCGCTGTGTTGCACGCCGGCGGCGGGCCGTGGCCGCGTGCCGGGCCGAGAGTCAGGCGATGGCCGGACCGGCCGATCGGGCAGCAGATACAGCGCGGCAGGTGAGGGCGCCCGTGTTCAGCGCGCGGCTATCGCTAGCCGGACCGCGTAACGGTGCGCTCCCGAAACGCCACCGATGGCCCCCGGCCTGGTGGCCACCGAACGGCCAGCGACGCACCAAACGGCCAGTGACGCACCGAACGGACAGCGACGCACCGAACGGCCAGCGACGCACCGAACGGCCAGTGACGCACCGAACGGCCAGCGACGCACCGAACGGCCAGCGACGCACCGAACGGCCAGCGACGCACCGAACGGCCAGTGACGCACCCAAAGGCCAACGACGCACCGAACGGCCAGTGACGCACCCAACGGCCAACGACGCACCGAACGGCCAGCGACGCACCGAACGGCCAGCGACGCACCGAACGGCCAGCGACGCACCGAACGGCCAGTGACGCACCGAACGGCCAGCGACGCACCGAACGGCCAGCGACGCACCGAACGGCCAGCGACGCACCGAACGGCCAGTGACGCACCCAACGGCCAACGACGCACCGAACGGCCAGTGACGCACCCAACGGCCAACGACGCACCGAACGGCCAGCGACGCACCGAACGGCCAGCGACGCACCGAACGGCCAGCGACGCACCGAACGGCCAGCGACGCACCGAACGGCCAGCGACGCACCGAACGGCCAGCGACGCACCGAACGGCCAGCGACGCACCGAACGGCCAGTGACGCACCCAACGGCCAACGACGCACCGAACGGCCAGTGACGCACCCAACGGCCAACGACGCACCGAACGGCCAGCGACGCACCGAACGGCCAGCGACGCACCGTACGGCCAGCGACGCACCGAACGGCCAGCGACGCACCGAACGGCCAGCGACGCACCGAACGGCCAGCCAATGCCGGTCACCTGGGCCCGCATTGAGGCGCCCTGGACGGCTCCCACACCGACCCCCTATCGGAGGGACGACGAGTGGTCTCCAGCGTCACACCCGACAAAGGCGTCCACCATCGCCCGAGAAGTAATGACATCGCGAAAAATACCGCCGGAAACTAACGCTTCCTTATCGCCAGCCTCAAGGACATGAAGAAGCAAAAGTGGATAACCGATCTGAAGGCATGCCACACGACATACGACCGAGACAAATGCTGATAGGCACAAAAGCCTGGCTTAACGTCTCAATAAGCACGAATGTGTCGGACACAATCGAACACGATCTAGACATAGGTAAACAGGCGAAAACAATTTTTATTCGATGCATGCACGTCTGCATTCTGTGTCCGATTAATTAGGTATATAGCTACATTTGCGTGTGTTCAGTTCAGGATCGACCGCATCAGCCCGCACGCAATAGCAACTGTACTTGGTTCGCAGTGGTTACGGAGCGAGCGAAGCGAGCGTAGTCTTTCCTTAGATTAACGGAAATTTCTGAGTATGAGCGGCCGGCCGGCCGGCCGGCCGGCCGGCCGTGGTCACGCTTTTGCGAGGCTTATATCTCAGCAACCACTTGACCGATTTACACGCGGTAATTTTTGTAGGGTAGCTTCATTCCTTCTACCAAGTATTGGACTATTCCCGATGCATGTGGGTGACCCCTTATGCACGTGCCACGTGCAAAACGAAGAGGTGTCACTTTTGTAATTGTTGCAATATCTCGGTAACTACTTGGCCGATTGCGCTGAAAGTTGGCATGTAGGTAGGCACCCACTAGGCACTGCATATACATGTGCCAGAGTTGGGGTGCTGCTGCACGTGCGCACGTGCAGGGGTCGTTTCCAGATCTCGGGAACGGCTGGACCGATTGCGCTCAAATTTGGTACACGGTTAGGGACCGGTTAGTAGGGTGCCGTGCACAAGTCAGTTGGGACCCATTTTGCACGTGCGCACGTGCAGGGTGCCGCTTCCAGATCTCGAGAACGGCTGGGCCGATTGTGCCCAAATTTGGCACATCGCTAGAGACCAGTTAGTAGGGTGCCGTGCACAAGTCAGTTGGAGGTACCCCCTCGCAATTTCGCACGTGCAAGGCCCACCCTCTCGCTCGCTCCGTTAGTCGCCCCAAAAGGCGTTATACTGGTTGTTTATAATACTAAAACAGCTTAACATATTCCATGAACCTAAATCTATATGAAAACCTTTGAAGAAGCATCGTGATGCATTTTTTACAGGACAATACCAAACAATATAGGCTCACATACCTGCGTTGCATTATCTGTCAGGATTAGTAAACCGACGAGAAGGGAACTATGTCGTAGAAAGTGTTACCTATTCTCCACGTTTATTGCCCCTCGGTCATTCTACACGCTATCTAAGCTACAAGAGGTCCATTCCCGTGGCCCCTATATCACAGCAATCGTGGGTTCAAGTTTGAGGATGACGCAGAAATTATCAGATCATGGAACTGCAATCCCGACAGGAAACAAACAGGAAAAGCATGGAGGCAAGATCGATGTGACTATATTTCTGTTCATGCAAGTGTTAAATAATAAAGAAACGTTTTGTTGATTGTTTAGAAGGCCAGCAAGGTTTATGAACAAATTTACATAGGCACTCTTGTGAGCGGAGTAATAACACGCAGCCCAACTTCAAGTAATAAACGAGCATTCTGTCCTTTGTCCAATGATCAGCTGTCCTTTAGGATGAATAACGTACCACACAGCATTTCATTCAAGAGTGGCATCAACTCCCCATAGGTAAATTGTTTGCAACATATAAATATGCTTAGAAACAAAGGGAATCATAAACACCTCTTTTCATTCCTTCACAGCGCTGTGAGAAGAAACCCGTCAACTTATAGGACCACAGGGGTCGCTACTCACATGAAACAGAGCGCGGACCGCAGTTCACGTAACCCTAGAGTCAAATCTACCTAGGGAGTAGGGAAAGAGTACTGAGTCAATGAAACTTTCACTTCAATCACTCAGCCCAACATCCAAACACAGAAAAGGCGGGTATTCGAAGACTAACTGAAGATTTGACCTCGTGTCACTGTTATGAGCCGGTGTAGGATTGAGATGCGCGTCAATTGGTCAGGGAAACACTACCGACTTTATGTGCCTTATATTTTCTAAAAAAAAAAAAAAACAAGTTCCAGAGATCTTGAATACAGTGAGTTTCTTACAAGTAGCACGACTGCAAGCAAGCAGTCACGTATGGCACAACGGTACCGATCGGAAACTCGAGGGCCTCAGCACCCAGTGCGGCGACTTCCCATCAGAGCCTCTGGTGGCGGACACGGTAACTAAACGACGACTGGCAAGTTGACCACACGTGAGCCGCGCCCTCTATGGGCCTGAAACAACGCTAGCCGTAGGAGGGCTGACTTCAAACGATTGAGTGCTTAACTTCAAGAACAGAGAGTGGACGATTAGAGATACGGAAGTTGTAAAGTGACCTATGTAGGGGTTCTACATATGAACATTTTTCTGCATCCAGTGTCGCTCTATCGGAATATAGCTAGAGCACGTTTCTTAGGTCTATACAAACACCGCGTAGAAACACTCAAAAATCGACATTCAAAGTAAAGTATCCATTTCATTCCTCAACAGCTCCCTCCCAGTTATCTCCAGGTACTGAAATTCCCCACCCCCCAGCGTCATGAGTTACCTCAGCTCAACTTTCCGCCGGCGGGGGCACAGCCTCACCATTCCCGTGCCCACAGCCACTAACGAGCGCCCTCAGAATCGGTGGCAAAAAAGTGGCATCACTTGAATATGGCGACGGGGAAACATCCCGCGACACATATCACTAACGCGCCAGACGTTGCCCATGTTTAGTCAATGCCATTTGAGATCACCGGACTAAATAACTGAACGAATCACCACTGGGCCGTTTGATTCGCTGCCCGGTGTGAGCCAGCAGACCGGCTGGTAGCACCCCGCTCCAGTCCTTACCATGGCGGTCTGTCCTGTTTTCGGCACGAATGCCGAGATCAAAACGCGACAGAAGAACTCGAGCCACCATCGGGGATGGTGCGGTGGAGCCTCATCGACCAGCAGCCTGCGAAGACAGAAGGCACAACACCAGGTCAGTGGCGGACGAGACCGACTTAACGAGCGAGAGAAGCGATATCATGGACAGGCCACAGCACATTCTCAAATCTCCCGGCATTGTTTCCTTCTCCGAGCAGCCACAGATCAGGCTTCATAAACCACGGCTGGTACTGCCAGACCTCGGACCGAGCGCAATGAACCCGCCGCTGATACCGTTCACCCGCCGCTGATACACGGCGCACAGTCGACTCACCCGGCCACGGCGCCCCGGAGCCAGTCTGCTGCCGCTGCCTCTCTGTCGATCCGTTCCCGAGCCCCGCGGGCGCCGCTGCGGCCACCTCATGAGGCCCAGGACAAAAAGTCGGGCACGGTGCGCGTCGGCACGTCCATAGAGAGCGCCTTCAGCCGCAGGTTTCTGTCGTCGGTGAGCAGGACCACCTCGCGGGTCAGGTGCTGGCCTCCTGGACACAGAGGACGGCACGGGTCAGCGGGCGTCAAACACGATCTAGAGGGGTCATCTGTGCTGATCAGAGGTCAGCGGGGTCAAAGGCTGCCGACAAAGATGTCAGCAGGGTCATCTGACTAAGTTTTGACATGGTTTTCCGGCCGTAATATTTACTGCGATAACTAAAAAAGTAAGCCTCAATACACAACAAGCACGCATCTATAGACAACGTCTCCCAAACTCAATAAAATTAAGTTAAGATCAGCCTCGACCCTCGGGACCGGTGCGGCGGTGGGTGCCCCTTGCCGGACTCACCGTCGCTCTGCTGTTCGGCCACTCCCCGCTCCAGGTTACGGCAGCAGCTCAGGATACGGTCATCGTTGGTCGCCTGCGGAGGGAGACACAATCGTGATAAGAGGAGGAAGGTGGAAACGAGTCTGCGTCATCATGATAACTACGATATCGCAAGCCAACGCTAAGAGCAGGTTCCTACAGCAGGCCAAAAGCGACAACCATCGTAAGCAAACAATGCCACCCTGCATCAAATATCAATCTAAGTGATGAATCAGGTCTCGGCCACTCCCAGCTGTCAGCTAGCTCAGATCCCTGCAGCTCTCGTCCGGCCTGTCTAGTATGCTCTCTCCATTGGCACGCACCTGTTCGTCGTCGTCGTCCTCAGCGGTGAACACAGCCGAGCTGATGAGGTGTCCGCGACTGGTGACACAGCGCACGTGCGGCGCGCCGCGCTGCTGCACGAACGCCAGCGCGGCGCGCGCTGTGCGCCGCACCTGCTGCACGTGCTGCTCGGACTGGCCGGGCCGCGGCCGGCCGCCGCCGCCCGGCCGAGACAGGCCGTCCAGTTCGGCCAGCACTGCGGAGATAGGTGGACCATGCTGTGTCAACACTACGTTGGTTAACACTGGAAGCACTGCGGATATTACAGTTCGTGTTGGCCTCGAGTCCATGTTACTTTATGGAAAGACGATGAAATATCATTTTGCAGTTGAGCGCCAATCGAAATAATATTGGGTATAACAGAAACATAGCTTTTGAGTCGAGAATAGCGAAAAGACCGGCTGGACCTGCAGCACCGTTATCACATTTTCCATTGTGACTTCTGAACCAAGAGGGCTCGTTCAGTGTTCGCCCACCTCCTGCTCACCTGTGACGGGCACGGTGAGCGTGTAGGCGCCGTGCTCGGTGACCAGCCGCCGCAGCTGGTCCAGGTAGTCCACGTAACAGTTGGTGTCGGCCACCAGGTAGCGCGGCCGAACCTCCAGCGTCACACTGGCGTGCGCCGACGACACGATGGCCTGCACGCGCCGGCTGTGCTCCTCCTGGCGGCGCACGCGGCGCTCCAGCGCCAGCTTCTGCTGCTGCAGGCGCGCCAGCCGCGGCCGGCTCGCCAGGTCGGCCAGCGGCGGCAGCGGCTCGTCGGCCGACAGGCGGCGGCCCGCGCCCTCCTCCTCCTCTCCGGCGCTCCACTCGACCTCGACGTCGGGCGACTCGGGCCGACCGTCGTCCTCGGGGGCCGGCGCGTGCGACGACACCTGGCTGATGTAGCGGCACGCGCCGTCGGCCGTCTTCACCAGCCGCAGCGGCGCCGGCTCGGTGCCGCACAGAAACTCCTCGGTGACGAACAGCACGCAGCGCAGCCGGAGCAGGTCGCGCGCCCGATCCACGCTGCACGCGGCCACATCCACAAAGGCCACGCGTCGCTGAGCGCACAGCAGCGGCGTGAACGACTCGAGGCTGATGTCCTCCGGCAGGCGGACCACCCGCTCGGAAGGCTCGCCGCTGCTCGTCGAGCCGAGCACGGCCGACGGCCGGAGCGCGTCGTCGTCGTCGCCGCCGTCGCGCTGCCGCAGCAGGTTGGTGAGCTCGGCCAGCGATTCCCAGCAGTCGGCCACGTCACACACGCGGTAGTCGGCCGTGCACGGCGGCGGGTTCCAGACGGCGCTAGAGCTCAGCAGCCAGTCGCACCACACCTTCACGAACACCATGCACGTCTCGAGCGAGGCCGGCTCGAACAGCCGCTCGCCGGCGTCGGGCGCGCGGCCCGACAGCAGCTGACAGGCGCGCTGGATCACGTGGCCGGCCATCTCAATGGCCACTGCCAGCGCCAGCTCCTGGTAGGTGGAGCGCAGATCCGAGCCCAGTCGCTCGTCCTTCAGCTTGGTGTTGGCGATGTTGAACATGATAATGCCGAGGATGTGGAGCATATCATCCGCCTTGAACGGCATCGGCTCGCGCGAGAGCATCTCGGAGAATTGGCGGAGCATCACGCACGCGTCCTCCTGGTAGCTCTCCAGGCTGACACGCGTGTACAGCTTGCCTTGGACGTGCAGGTAGGTGGTGACGAAGGCCTTCAGCAGGTCGGCGTTGGACGTGATGCGTATGTCGGCGAGCTCGGGTGGCTCGTCGGCGGCGGTGGGCAGCGTGCGCCGCAGCCGGTCGCCGCGGTTCGGGTGCACCCAGACCTCGGTGCGCAGGTCGGCGCCGCGCCGCTCCTGCCGCCGCTCGGCCGCCGGTGCCGCCACCTGGCCCGGCATCGGGCTGTTCGCCGCGTACCGGCGGCTCGACTCGTGAAACAGCGACAGCAGCGACTCCTTGGCCGTGTGGAACGGGTTGGCGGCCATCAGCGCGCGGGCGTACAGGTAGACGCAGTCGAGTCGGCGGTGGGCGAACAGAGTCACGATCGCCAGCTGGTTGAACGGACGCCCATTCTTCGGGTTGATCTTCTGTGCCTGCAGGTAGAATCGGTAGGGCTCGGCCAGGTTGGGCACCCGGCCCAGGTGGTACTGGTAGCGGGCCAGGTCGCCCACACAGAGCAGCAGCCGCTGACTGAGCGCGGCCACCGAGGAAAAGTAGCGCTGCCGCCGGATCGGCTCCGGATCGTGCAGCAGCGAGCCCAGACGCCACACCGGGATGGCGTACGTCGTCTCCAGCTGGTTCAGCAGAGCGGTGAAGTACAAGACACCGTCGTCGATGACCTCGCAGAGGTGGAGCTCCTGGCCGGGCGGCTCCACGTCGCGCAGCTTCTCGATGACGCAGTAGTAAAATGACTTCCAGATGGTCTGGTCGATGCCGAGCGTCATCCACGTACGAAGATCGGTGACCAGCACCTGAGCACACTCCGCCTTCACGTGATTTCTCAAACGCAGGGTGTGCACCCAGCTGTCGAGCAGCCGGCCACTGGCAATCAGGTACTCGATTTCGCCGGCCGTGCGGCCCAGCAGCTGCGAGATTCGATTAGCGTTGGTCGCGTTCGACGACGGGCTGAACGAGTCCGAGCAGCCGGCCGCCTGTGGATCGGCACCGCCACCGCGCGGGTCCACGTACTCCCGCGGGGGATCCTGGTAGCGGCGCTCGCGAGCGTCCACGGCCCGCGGCGTCACCTCCAGCGCCTGGCCGGGGTTGTTCGGGTCATACAGGTGCCGCGGCTGCGGCGGCTGCGGACGGGAGTGTGGCTGCGGGTGAGGGTGTGTGTGCGGGTGGAGGCGGGAGGGCGGCTGTGCGTACGAGTGCGGCGGCTCGGGCGGGTCGCTGTGTGGACCGCCCGGCACGTACAGCAGGCCAGAATGGGGTGGTGGTCCGGCCGGCTCCGTCAGTCGGTCGGTCCGCGCCGCGGGCCCCAGAGCCACGGCAGCCAGCTCGGCGGCTGGCGGCGACAGGGGCCGCTGCCGTTCGTCATTCCGCCGTCCACTGACCGGCGCTGCCGGCGGGTCAGCCTTCGCGCAGACCTCCGGTTGGGAGGACGCACTCGTGCGGCCGGAACGAGAGACTGGCGCCTCGGTGGCCGACCGAAGCTCCTCTCTGGAAGGGTCGCGCCGCCGCTCGTTGAAGTCAGCCCGTGGCGAGGCGGTACGGTTACTTTCTCCGTCGCCACCCCGATGCCGGCGGCTGCCCTCTGACCGACCACTGTCATGACGCCGGTGACTGCCTTCCGACCGGCCACTGACATGACGATGATGACTGCCCTCCGACCTGTCACTGTCATGGCGCCGACTTCCATCCGACCTGTCACTGTCATGACGCCGGTGAATGCCCTCCGACCTGTCACTGTCATGACGCCGGTGAATGCCCTCCGACCTGTCACTGTCATGATGCCGACTGCCGTCCGACCGACCGCAGCTGACTGCCGACTCAGCTCCACTCTGCCGCGCCACCGCTGCATCTCCACGGTCCCGGCCGGCGGCGCCCGGCTGCGGGGGATCGTCCGGCGGCCTCGCCGGCTCCCCAGTGCTGTCGGAGTGTCGTCGCGCCGCGCGAGGCACGTACACGCCCACGGCGCCGCGCGGTCGCCGCCGGGTACCAGGCGATGGCTCACGAGTCCGCGCCGCGTCGTCTGCTGACGACCGGGCGCTCTTGTGCACGCCTTCCTTAGTTGGCTTCAATGAGAGATCTACTGGCTGCGGGGTCAGATCTACCGGATGCTCTTCGGAGGTCGGTGTACCAATAGCGTGCACGCCAGATTCCTCAGACTTCCTCCTCGCCGCTTCTGGGAAGCTCTTCGCCATTTCCGTTCCGGCCGACTCGTTGGCCCGGTGATCGTTGATACTGGCAGACGATGTCGTGACACTGACACCACCTTTACTTGGTGGCTCCGCGGCGCGGTCCGACCCCTCCGCGAAGCGTCGACTCCTCTCTGCCGCCGCTCTGTGCGGCCGACGCTGACGAGGCTCTTCAAAGTGCCCCGGCTTACTACGTGTGAAAACCATCGTGGATCGATGCTGAGCATCGTCAGATGAATAACCCTGGCCTTTCTCGGTCGTGTCCCTGGAGCGCCGGTGTTTGCTGCTTTCCGTCTCCGTTTGTTCCCGACGACCTTTAGAAGTTCCTACGGACGTTCGTTGTTTGCCTGTGTCAGACTCGCTGGTGGAGCCTCCACGCTGCCTTGTGTCCCCGCGCTCGCCGTGAGCTGGAACGCGGCGCTGTGGTGGGGGCGGGTCTTTCCTGGCAACTGGCTGCGGTGGAGCCTCAACTTCCGGCGACCGTTTTGCTTCCTCCTGAGATCGGCGGCCTCGTGGCATGTAGATGGCCATGTCTGGCCTCTTGGTCTTCTTTGCTGGATCTTTCGAAGACATTATATTTGTATTAGGCTCACAGAAATTATTTTTAAGAACCAATTTTCCCAGCTTTCACACTGAAAAAGAAAGGCATATGCTTACTGAAGAACATCCTGGGGATATAATCATGGGGATTAAAGGATGCTGGCTGATAAGGTCAGTTTGAAACCATGACATAGCAGTATGGGCACTAACCTGGACTGGAGTAAGCAACACTAAGGTACAAAAACATCTATTTCCAGATCTGACAGCAATAAGAATTAAGAACTGAGAAAATGCATATCACTGATCCCAGATCTGCACTCCAGGATGCAAAGCATGAAAATATTGCCCCACATTGTATGACCTCCTATACTATGTATATTGAAGTGAACTAGCGGGCAACTGGTGAGAGAGGGCCATGCTAGACCCAGAAGAACTGTGCCACCACCTAACTGCAATGCATTACCCTTTTCATTCAAATTATCACCTGTGAATCGGGTGCACATAATTCACACAGGTTGAAATGGGGGGGGGGGGCGGGGGGCATTCATAAATCATATGTTCCCCAGTTCATATTTGCCATACATATTACACAGTAGATTTTTTTATAGGCTGTAGGTTGCAGGTAAGGTAAGGTCAGGTTAGATTATGTTTTGTTCTATATTATCTGAGAAAACAAATGCATGGCCTCATGAGAGGTGGACCATAAGGAATATATGGTACACACCCCTTGAAATGATCAGTTAGTAGCATCATTTCATAATTCACAACAAGCACTGCTATCAAGGCTTTTGTCTGAATATTCAGGCAAAATAAAAAAAGCAGGCAAGAGAGCATAGGACCTGCCATGCACCTATTGGCTTTCGTTAATTTTTTTAGAGGTACCTACATTGTGTGCTGGACATATGCAGTCATGTGGTTTAAGTGACCATCCCATTAGTTAGCATGCGTTGTTATGCGTTGTTAGTGACCATTAGTTATGAGTTGAGAATTGAGATAGCCAAAATGGGGTCCCTGGCTTGCACTTATTGGTTTGAGCACTCACAACATCAAGAAATGCCTTGAAAAGAAAACACCTAATTTCAAAGCTGCAGCACTTTGGATCCAGAGGGGCTAATGCATTTGAATGCCCCCTCTGAAAGTGTGATGTCAGCACAGATCCAATAATCTCAAATCTTTTACTAAAATGTTTGGTAGCATGCGGTGGCCTATGCTGAGCTCTGTTTGCCCTTGTTAATTTATCAGCAGGCTGCGAACATGCTGCTACTTCTTGGCTCCTCATTAGTTGAATTCAAGTGGTCTATTTGTTAGACCAATGAGAGGCCAAGAAGCACCAGCAATTACTTCCTTATATCAATATGGGGAAAACTGACAGCACACTGATATAAAAACAGAGGGCGAACAACACCAACCTTCGAGCGCGAGAAAATGCCCCTCTTTCATTCAGCTGTCAAACTATTGCATCCGAATAGTCGCTAGGAACAGCAGAGATCCCAAAAAGTAAACAAAAGTAAAAGTAATATCTTGAAAACCTGTGAATATTTTTCAGTGAAATTTGGTAGATATTCGTGTTTGCTCTTTCTCTGAGCGACATCACTTTCATGCCAATTCATTCACTTTTTTGAAGGTGGGAGGGTCTCTTTAATGATTGATATACTCTGGTATATAGGTACCAAGGCAATAGTATGTATATACGGTATGTACCTATGCTATCGCCTTGAGTTTGAGGGACATACACCAAATCCACACATTTCAACAGATACAATTAAAAACGCCGGCTGCGCTAGATTCATCGCAAGTGAACAAGTTGTATTTTTGTCCTATGACATCATTCTCATAACATTTGCAATGTTTCCCCATTTTGATTCAGCAATCAGCTATGATCAATTCCACGCAATTGAGGGTTATCAGATAAAACCTACATTACCAGCAAATATGCTTCAAAATGAAATAAAAAATGATCGTTGTAAATTTTATGCTGTTTCCTTATCTTACCGTTCACTTGCCTTCCACTTTTTGGTGACGTCATACACAATAGCTCAAAATTCCACGTGTACATTTTCTTCATCCTTGAGAATGTCTCGGGGTCTCGGGTGTTTAGTTGTGTGTCTGCGTTTCTCTCTCACTCTCACACTCTGTTGTTTCGTTGTGACAGGTGCTGACATAGTTCCTACTCAAGTTTTTTTTTCTGTGTTATGTTTTCTGACTAGTGCTGTTAATTTTTATAATACTGGATAATGCTTTTTAACATATTGAGTAATGTGTACTGTTTGGGATTGGATTGGTCATAGAAATAGGACTTGGTTTTGAATGAAGTGTTTAGGTCTTAATCTGTTGGCTGTTGCCATTTAATTTTTAGTCGGCCTGTGGACAAGGTACTGCATTATGGATTTATCTAAACGTATGATGATTGATGACCTATTTTATTTTTGCCTATTTTATTTCTTTATGAACGGGTCAGGATTAACTGGTGAGTGGTGAGTGGTTTGTAGCCCGTAGGTAGAATTGTTAAGTTTAATGAAAAGTGCCTCTACAAAGCTGCTATCTCGGATTTTTGAAATTTTTGATTTTTGACCCCCCAAAATCAAAAAATCATTTTTTTGGATATATTTGCCAAAAAATCCAAAAAGTTTTTCGAGTTTCAAAAAACGGAATATATGTGATAGTACCAACCGTCTTCTTTCTACTTACCAAATTTCAGATCGATATCTCGTTTTTTAGCCAAGTTATAGTGAAAAAACTTCAAAAATGAGGACGTAAAATTTTCAAACTCAATTTTTGTCAATTCTAGATCACGTAGGGCAAAACAAAGACCACCATTAGACTCCCCGTGACAAGCTGCATCGAATGGATACCCATTTTATGCAAAAATATCAATTTTGAAATTTGACCTAATTTGACCTGAGTCCTGACCTTGACCTGACCTTCACCAAAACGTGACCTAAGCTGGCCCCAAAGGCTGCCTGACCCACATAATCGCATTTGTCATGTAAAATGGACCATAAAACATGTATCACATGACACTTTCATATTGTGACCCCAAGTGACCTGACCTCTGTGACCTGACCTGGTATCAGTGACCTCAGATAGCAAAGTATGTGTTTGACTAACAATGTACCATCGATGGTTTTCAATAACTTACCAATTTACTCGATTTCACAACACATTTCTCGAAATGCCTGTGAACGGTGAAAACCTTTGACCTTTGACCCGACCTTTGACCTGACCTGTGACGTCACTGGTTTGACCTAGGTCATTGAAATTTGGTCACAATGTAGTTCTTCGGTGGGGCTATCGAACGCCGTTTGAATTTTAAAAATCTGCCGGTAAATTTCCGAGATCTAAGGGGGGGGCGAAACGCCCCCCCCCCGACGGGTGGTAGGGTCCGCCGATAGCCCTACGGGGCGCGGGTTAATGTAGAGTAGACCATGGCTATGCAACCTTAACCATGGTGAACATGTACCTACCATTCATGACATCTGAATTATAAATACCCATGAAAAGGATAGTTCAAATTGAGAGAAGATGCATAAAAATGGATGATTGGGCCAGTTGTACTTTTGCATATTGCCTAATGCTCACACTCAGGTAGGGCTCAGAAGTCTATATCTCATTTTTTGTCACGTAAAAGGTGTCTTACTGGTATTTACTTACTGGTGTGGACTGGTAGCGTAGGCAGCTACTGTGGACGTCAAACCGCGTGGGACGCGACTTTTTCGCAATAACTTTTGAATGCGTTGCCTCTCAAGAACGAAACTTCGGCAATGGACGTTTCAGACCCCGGCCTAATTTTTATTACTAAGGTTTTTCAATGTCCGATCAATATTTAGGGCACTTCCCGTTCACTCGTAATGCTAAGTGAAATATCAGCCCGGATGGCGGCTATCGTCAGGCTGCTCGCGAAGCCCCGCCTACTAACTACGAATTCCCTGCCATCTACCGTTCAGACACGACTGCCATCTGTCGGTCGATCCTCACTCAGAACCGGTTCTGCATGCTGTGTGCGTCGGGTCTCAGATGGGCGGACATCTCGAAACCGAGATTGTTCAGTATGGTCTTTTACCAGGTTTTTTAATCCGAGAAAAAACCGAGATTGTTCAGTATGGCCCTTTACCAAATAAACTATACGAATTATTGACTTAGCAGCAGGCCCGCAGGGATGCAGAGCCTTGAACATTTGAGTCAGCTCCAGCTCCGGCTCCGGCTCCGAGTAAAATGGCAATACGGCTCCGGCTCTGGCTCCCACTCAGGGCAAAATATGACGGCTCCGGCGGATCCGGCTCCCCTCCGGCTATGCGTACCGGTGCATTACGGAAACATTTAAGTTGGGGCATATTTGGGCTTGGCAGGATAACACGAAGTGTACTAACGTTCCTGGCGGTTTGATATCTACAAGAACCTAAAGTTAAAATTTTAATTAAAAAAATTAACTTGACTGTGTAAATATATTATATTATTATGTATCTCATTTACGTAATTACGTTGACAAACTTATTAAATAATCATTTACTTATTTTTGGTTATTCTTAAATCATCGTAATATTTGGCGTACATACGTGTATAGCCTTCCTATCTGGGTGACATTCTTAGCGAGTCGAAGAAAATATTTCATTGATAGATGTGCGAACAGTCAACACTCGGTCCATTCTAAAAAGAATACTCTATGTAGATAGATATTTGCAAATACATTCTTGCAGCCCTTAGGGCAAGCATGAATAACGTACGCCATGCGGCTGGGTGTGTTGGCAGGAAGCACCGCGTACCAACCCCTACGGACCGCGACTGACCGGTCTCGGGTCAGGTAGCGCCTCAGGCAATGGCCAGCCGAGGCGGAGCTTAGCTCGAACGTCACACTATGGCTCCGCCCCTTGTGGAGTAGCCTCTGCTCACCGAGAGAGTTTCAGGAGCAAAATTTAACATTACGAGTGAACGGAAAGTGCCCTAAATATTGATCGGACATTGAAAAACCTTAGTAATAAAAATTAGGCCGGGGTCTGAAACGTCCATTGCCGAAGTTTCGTTCTTGAGAGGCAACGCATTCAAAAGTTATTGCGAAAAAGTCGCGTCCCACGCGGTTTGACGTCCACAGTAAGTGAGTGTTAGGCTGGTTAGTGCTGCCAATATCTGACATCATTGATTTTCATCATTGGTTGCTGTTCTTACATATCATCTTTGTTTGCAGGTTTACTAGGGCGAAGTAAAAACCATGATGTTTTTCAAACTTATCACCTTAGGCTTGCTTCTTGCTTTGTTTATTCAGCCAGCATGGACTTTCATTGATGGACTTTATTGTGGCATGAACAACTGTTATGATGGTGAGTTGTTGGTGGGAATGATAGATATTGTAGCAATTGCGATTTGCTGCCATTAGTTTACATTTGTTTAAATTATTAATTTTTGATAGTTTTTTATAGAATGAATGATCACTTTGATTTACACAGAAATGCCATTCAACTTTGATCACTAGCATATCGACTCTTCCCTCCTATAAACAACCATTTTAATTGCCTTGCTATTTTCATAAAATGATATCTATTGTATGTTTGATCTTAAGTCACTGGTGAGTGTTTTGACATGGATAGCCATGTGTTTCAGTCTTGGGTGTTACAAGAGATACACCAAAGAGGGAAATAGCGTCCAAGTATCGTCAGTTGGCGAGAAAAACTCATCCAGATTTGTTCAAAACGGACGAAGAAAAGGAAAAAGCTGCAGAGAAGTTCAGAGAGATAGCTACAGCGTAAGTGACAACATCAGTGTTTTCCTTGAACTTTTACAATTTGTGCTAATAAAATATGTGCGTAGTGCAATGTGTATTTATTTTTGGAGCTTGATTACCATGCTTGCTTTTTATGCCTGAACAACCCTGTCCGTTTCAGATACGAGATTCTCAAGGATGACGAGTCCCGCACCGACTATGACTACATGCTGGACAATCCGGACGAGTTCTACAGTCACTACTACCGCTACTACCGGCGCCGGATGGCCCCGCGGGTGGACATTCGTATTGTGCTGGCCGTCACCATCTCCATCATATCCGGCATCCAGTACTTCACCTCCTGGACCCGGTGAGTGGACGACGGCACCACCAAATCGCTCAGCACGGCTCTGAATCGCCGCCCTCGTCAGCACTCGTAGTGTGCTTCTTTACCCTCCGCGAGTTTTCTGTTTTGTTTCATTTTGTCTAGACCATTTGCAGACTATCGCATTTTCCCTTTCCTCTTTTTTAGCTGCTTTATGTTATCGCTAGGCTACTATATTTCCGTGAGAGTCCATCCCATTATGACTGCTGCGATCGGTGTGGCGGAGGATGATGACCGGTAGGACGCCTCCGGTGAAATGACGGGGCGTGCCCGCAGGTACGACTCTGCCATCCGGTATCTGGTCACCGTGCCCAAGTACCGGCTACGCGCGCAGCAGATCGCCAAAGAGGAGAAGCTGCTCGACCACTTGAAGAGGAACAAGAAGATGAGCAAGGACGACGCGCGCCAGGAGGAGGAAAAGATCCTCCGAGAGATTGTCCGCGACAGAATGGATATCCGGTGAGTGCCGGCCTTCGGCGGCCGATACGGCATTGGCGGTACGGCATTGTGATGATGGCGATTGGCAGGCAAGTTACGGATGGAATTCTTGCATTGTCGTACAATGGCTTTTTTAGATCCTAGTCGAATAAGAATGTGAATAACACGTTCTTCAGTAGTTATTTTGTAGGTCACGCGGTGAGCGTGTTATATCCGTATCCGGACCTCGTATCGCGCCACGAATATAGTTTCATTGGCTACTGACACTAATGTGAGGTGACATTTACGGTAGATCGGGTGCGCTCTGGCCTCCGACTCGGTCGACGGACTGTCAGGCAGGCGTCCGCATGGGGATCTGTTCAGACTTAGCGAGTGACGACTGATCCATCATCGCCCGTATATGCTCTGCGTTAAAACCGTTATTGGGCTGATGGATTATCGCTAGATGTTTATCGGAACTTCAAGTGACGCGTGCTTAGCGGAGTATTTTGATAATCTGTCGGTAGGAGTGATATTGTGGTGCACGGTGCACGCGGGCCGTGTCGCGTGGTTACCCTCGGCCCAGGTTTTTTTACTGCAGTATTGTGGACCCGAATCACCGTCAGTTAGCGCGGTCGGACGCCGGGCCGGCGCCGACCAACTCTGTCGGACGCGGCCGTCCGTTGTCCAACTCACGCCATGTGGCCGTTACGGCCGGCCGCGTGGCGCTCCGTCACCGACCGCCCGGGGGGACTGGGGGGGGGGGGGGGGCGGGGGCGGGGGCGGACGTCGATCATCTGTCAGAGCGGCCGGCGGTGTTCGGCCGGGTCGGCTCGGCCCGAGACCCCCCTTCCCCCGTCGTGGCTCCGTCCACACTGCCGATCACGCCCGTGAGTCGCAGCTCGCGCCGGCCTCCCACTCAAGCCAAGACGGAAGGGACACGCACGGGTTGTGATGTATCCGGAACTAGAGACAAACTCAAGTAGCTTCTTAGTTAACTACCGAACAAATAGAATGGCACACTGAATATACTTGGACGAAAACATCGTTCTATGATCAAGCTAGGCTTCATTCTGGAGATGTAGGATCTTAGTTCTTCATCCGATGCTTAGTCACTTGTCGACGAACACGCTATATGGGACCTTCCCTGACAACTCCCTCCCGCTGAATTATCTGGGCCTCGGTCTCTTGGGCGGGCGATCGATTTAAGATCTGTAGTGTTCCACGGCACAAGTGACAATTTTTCTGGCAATGAACCCTGCCGAAACACACGAGCTCTAGCTGACCGTGTTCAGGGATCTCCCAAGTGCAGCTGCGCGTGCGCTCTGTGTGTAGTGTGCCGGCGGCAGTGGTTCCCGGACCGGCCCCGGACCGGTCGCGGTCCGCTGTCACCAGTGACGTCACCTGCTGCACAGCGGCAGGTCCGTCAGACGGCCGTTGTTTCCGGGGTGAGGACGCCACTGGTTACTGGCGGCGTCACCGAGACGGCGGCAGTACGCGGACCAGCCAGGCCTATTTCTCTGAGGGGCTTTGCGCGTGAAGTAGGCGAAGATATGCATCCGGTCGTGATCGGGACACGGGTGGGCGCCGGTCGTCGCTCACGGCCGGTCACCGTTCGCTGAGCCGCAGTGCGGGAAAACACGACGCCCTGTGAGCGTGACGCGACGGTCTGGTGGAAATGCGGATATCCGGAAACGGGTCGAAAAGTGCTGATGGGGCTTACTGATGTCACCGCAATGATCAGACAAACTGGTGATGAGATTATGAGATTAAACATGCATTTCACGTGTAATTCATGCCATTCAAATGGTATGGATCTAAGTACCTATCCTTCGAATGTTATTCGGATTGTGTCGTTTGACAGAAAGGAAAAATGTTGTGATTCTTTTTGTGTGCGTATCAGTAGACATGAACCTGGTCCAGACAGTCTTGCAGATGATCAGCCTGAAACGCTAGCAGTCTGTGCTCGGACTGGGCTGACTCGGCGTCCCGTTTTGCCGTGCGCCAGGGGCGGCTACGCCAAGCCGGAGTGGACGGACGTGCTGTGGGTGCAGCTGGTGCTGCTGCCCTACACGCTGGCCACCTGGGTGTACTGGTACGGCCGCTGGTTCTGGAAGTTCACCCTGCTCGGCCACGAGTACGGCACGGAGGAGAAACTCTACCTGATCCGGCGCAACATGGGCATCTCGCGCACACAGTTTGACGTGAGTTAGCACGCAGCGGTTCACCTGTGATTCCATTCGGCTCTTCGCCTAAAATGGTTGGGCGAGTGAGACTCCTGTGTATTGTTCCTTTATATCTAATCATTCCAGTAGCGGTGGAACACTTTCAATTAAGGGGGGAGGGGCACTGCCGACTTTTCCTCCCATTCTTTCCATGCAACGCCCATAGGGCTAATGTTAAAATACCAAAATCAAAGGGGGGCACGGTGCCCCGGTGCCCTCCCCGCGGTTCCCCTGCCTATGAGTCCTTCATCTTTACCATGTGTTTGTATGTCTTATGAATTAAGCCATAGATGCTGCCTTCAAGTAAAATCAATTTACATTGCAACATTCAGCATATTTTGGTCCATGCTGGTATACGCTGCCGTTATTTGGTCTGTGCCGTGGTATTGCGGTGCCGGGTCTGGCCATCCCAGGGTATATTGGTAGTCTGTCCTGCTCTGACCGGACCTGACCTATGACCTCTGACCCGACCGCAGGCGATGGAGGAGCACACCAAAGAGGACTACCTAGAGATGGAGCTGTGGAAGAAGGACGAGTTCGCCGAATGGAAGCGGCAGCAGGAGGAGGAGCTCAAACTCAAACTGGCCAACAGCGCCCAGCACAAGCAGTACCGGCGGTACATGAAGAATCACGGGCCCGGCCGCATGTACTTTGACGACTCGTAGGTGGTCGTCGCCGCCTCGCCGCTGCCCCAACGCCCTCCCCGGGGCAGCCGGTGGACACACTAGGTACGAATTAACCGATAGTGAAGTAATGCCACGTGCTGGCTGGTTGTCCATGACAAGGAATTTTATCCCAGCCAGCTCTTGCTTTTTTTGTGCGTTGGAGCTTCTGATATTTTATGCTGCGTTTCCTGTTAAAGCAAATATGTCTAGTACCAACAAACATTCGGTTTCCTTTTTTGGCTGTCCCTTTTGTGCAGTCGCTCTTTTTGTGGACCAGCAGACTCTCGCGTTTGCCAAACAGCGGTGTGTGTTCCTCCCCTAGATTAGACAAGTTGAAAAGCATATAAGCCGTGTCGCCCACCGTCACCGCTCACGTTCTACACCCAGTAGATGACCAGGTAGGATATGTCCTTCAACCTGCCGAGAAGACTTACCGTGATTACAACCGAAGCCATAAGAAGCACAACTGTCAGTGATGAGCGAGTCGATTGGCCCAGTCAAATTATGTGTCCACCTCCCGTCATGTAGTTTAGTGTGGATCGTGCGACCGTGGTGTACAGGGTACCATATAGTCCCACCCATCGGCTGGCGTCCCACAACACGTGTGGACCGGTGAATGACGTGTCCGTGACAGTCTGGCTCGCCTAGATCGGCTGAAGGGTCGTGCAATTTGGGAGTGTCTCAGTGTTGCTCTCTCTCTTCCGCGAACTGTTTCTGCAGCCTTCACTCGCTAGGCATTGTGCAATGGAGAGGGTCACCCGTTCTTCTAGGAGAAGTATGAACCTTTTTATGTTGAGAGCGCAGCTCTTTCTGTTCTTGTGAATGGCGCAATAGGTGTCGGACATGTTAATTCAGAAATGAATTATAGATTTGAAAGCCGCTGATAGACGGCCGAACTAACGATCAAAGTATTGTCCATCTACTTAGTGCAGAGCATGGCGTGCTGAGATCCGCGGTGGAGCGTGGATTCAGACAGTGGTTGAAGACTGTGAGAGTAGCGTTCTGCTGAACCGCCCTGTCTGACTGCCTATACCAGGCTCATTGTGGTGTATATGGAGGTGTAGGAAGGAAAGGAGTCAGACCCGTTTTATAAACGCAGTCTTATGCCAGCCATGCGACAGATTCGCACGACCCTGTCTCGCTTGTCGGTAGTGCTATCCAAAACCGTTCTCGATGGCTCCTATTACGGTTTTAGCTGTCAAACTGCTGATTCTCTTCGTCAACACCGGGAATATTGCAGTGCTGATGTCGCCGACCAGGGTCGCGACTGCTCCCGCGTGACTGTGCTGCCGTGCTCCCCTCCCGGGGCGAACGGTGTGCCGAGACTGACAGATCTGTGCGGCCCAGTGCCGACTATTTTTGTGCAGAGTCGTGTGGGCTAGAGGGACGGGCGTGGGGCGCGAGTTTGCTGAGAGACCTGGGACGGGGTGGTGCTTTTCTGGTGTTTGGCAATAGTTCGGGACATTGTGTGCGCGTGTGTTCTATGGATTGAACGGCCCAGCCCGCAGTGTGCACTTCCATCGTATAGATGTAATTATTTTGCTGGACGTTGATGTGTGTGTTGGGTTCTATTTAATTGCATTTGCAACTACATTTCCATGCTCCACATATGTGTTCGCCTGTATTTTTACCGGACTTGTGTAATGTGTCAAGCTTCTTGGAGATATGAATGTATCGAGTGGATCTGTGTGGGAGCGTTGTTCTAATTTGGAGTATCTGGCTTCCCGTGTTTCCAGAGCGCCCTCAGTGCCGTGGCCGCCTCGTCGTTCTCCTGTCTACCTGTCATTCTTCGCTGTCAACGCATAAGAATCGTGTCTGGTAATAAAATACGTGTTGGGGTCCGTTTTTTTCACTGTCTGATCACTGATGTACAGTGCCTACCTACCTACTGTGCGCGTAGGTACAAGTGTATATTTATTTATTCGCTAAAACTTGCGGCTTATGTTGATGACGACAAAAGGCTTGCAGTTTAGCGCCGCTAGGGATACCACTCGCGAGATTCTGCGAGCCGTGACCTCGAATCGATACGTCCGGCGGAAGCGTCTGCTGGTGGAGCAGTCTATCACCATTCACCAATCCCCATTCACGTCTTCCGACGGGGGACGATTGCAGATTGCACGGGCGACCCCCAACCCCTGCGGATGGCCACTTTCAGTACTGTGGTAATCTGGTAGGTAATGCCAAAGTCTGATGATTTGATAATGTGTTAAGTACTGCTGTGACAAGTAAATGTACCGAATCTGCTCGATACAGGCCATTAGGGATGCCAGGATGGATAGCTTCTAAATGCGTGGTATCCTTCGAATGTAGTTATTTAAAAACTAATATATCCGTAATATCTGGTAAGTGAAATGACGTGCAAAACGACTGTCAATCCAACCATTCAAACGCTCTGGCTTAATGATAAAAAATGAGATTTCTGCGGAGTGGTGCATTACAACGTGATTTGTTGTTTTGGTTGTTGATTTTCTTTGTGGTGGGCAAAATTTCGAGCCGTGCATGGCGCAGCAGAAACATATAAGTTTAAGTGCTTTGTATTTTGTTTCTGCTCGCGCATGCAGAAAGAGCGGTTGTTGTCGAATCAAAAACAACGGTTGATCATTCCTAATGTGAAAACCGATGAGCGTTGTAATGATGAATATATTTTTAGCGTATATATATTTTATATATATATATATATATATATATATATATATATATATATATATATATATATATATATATATATATATATATATATATATATATATATATATATATATATATATATATATATATATATATATATATATATATATATATATATATATATATATATATATATATATATATATATATATATATATATATATATATATATATATATATATATATATAGCGAATATATTATTTTAGAATATATTTTAGTAAATAGCGCAGTAAGAGCAATACACCTATATACCCTGCAATACACTTCACTCAATATACCCTGCAATACACTGTCAGTGTGTCGTGGCGTCTGGTGGCGTCCCCACGTCCCTAATACACGGCCTTGGTGGCGTCTATCAATTTTGCTTCGTAATTTGGTGCTATTTCACCATATGTTCTCGTTTGCTTGTTTATGAAAGCCTGCCCTGGGATTGTTCATTAATTGCATAAGTTGGTCGTTTTGAAAGCAATGCTGAACAACTCAAGACGTGGAGCACAAGTTAAAGGAAACAGACAAGCCGATGTCTTGAATGACACCAGCCTTCTTTTGGACTCGCTTCGAAATGAGGTAGGTATTCTTCATTTGCATATTTTATTTCATGAGGCATATCTTTTACCTAACTACCTACCTGTCACATCATGAGTGGATGTTGCAGCATTCTGATTTATTCTCGCTTTGATGGGAAGGAAAGGAGATGATTACCCAAATGCTAACTTTTGTTTCATTTTCAGTGTTACCTGCCTAATGCTTCTGTCTTTTTGGTGGTATGAAAATTTAAGACAGCATTCCCGCAGTTTTTAGACTGCAAAGCATGGCTGGAAAGCCACAATGACAGTGATAAAATCTCTTTGCGTAGATCAAAGAGCAAAGTTCAACAAAATCGATAATATTGTTGTTTTTTATTTGAGGGTGTGGGTCATTCAAGTTCTGTGTGTTATGGTGCAACTGCAGACCTATTACTCTTCTGTGCACACGGCTGGAAATCAGCACAAACCTGTGACAAGAAGGATTCAAAATTACACAGAAAATGCTGGACGTTTGCACTCAGCTGTAATGTCCATGCCAGTCATTTAACTGCTATTTGTTGTGGTATTCAATGATAATTGTTCAGTCTCAAACAGCATGGTCCAACCTAGCCACATCACAATGGAAGCTGGAGCCCGGAGCCCTGTTCGGTCGCTGCTTTTATCAGCATACTGTCAGTTTTCCCATATAAGGAATAGGGTGTGTCATTTTGGGCACTTTTTTCGCAAAACATGGTGCTCCACTGATTTTATCGTGCCCCAGACACGTAGAAACCGTGTGAAATTTTTTATTTCCCCCAAATATTAACACCCATGCGGCGCCGACCGCCGACACTTTGGCCTATCTCTCAGCATTAGCGACCTCAGCGCCCCTAGCGGCAATGTTTTGAACTAACACGCCCGCTATGCTTTGTGAGCTTACGATCATCATTAAATGCATTTTACCGAAATGACGCCTTGCTGTTGGCTTGTCTGGCACTCAGAATGTTGGTGAAAATGTGATGTTATGCATCTTAAAGCACGAAATAGTTCTGTGTTAATGTATATTGCATAGTACTACCCCCGATCCCCGTCCTGGTCTGACGGGATACCTACGTACGAGCGCATGTTTATAGTGCCTGCTATTAGGTGTCACATGTTTTTTTTGTAGCGTCGTTCACTGCATAGACCCCGGGGAACAGGGGGGGGGGCAGTGGGGGCGCTTGCCCCCCCCCCCCCTCCAACTTGAGAGCCGAGTGGGCGCCGCCCCCTCAACATTGATGCAACGATGAAGGATCTCTGCTCCCTTTTATGGACCTACATGTCTGTTTTATATAAACATCAGCACAAGGCATTTCTCTTGCATGTGAAGTGAATGGTTTCTACTGACTCGGCATCGATTTAAGAACACCTGCTATTATCATCCCACTTTGATTTTATCTGAACTTGATCATAACTTTGGTAGGTCAGATTTTATACTGGACCATTTTGGTTCCGGATGGTATTTGATTTGGCGTGATGAGAACATTATGACGTACAACGGTGGTAAAGTCGTTGATTGATACAGGTTTACTCGCTCCGGTGGGAGGCAGTAGCGGCGGAACACCTTCAATTAAGTGGAGGGGGGGGGGGACACTGCCGACTTTTGGTCCCATTCTTTCCATGCAACGCCCATAGGGCTAATGTTAAAATGCCCAAATCAGAGGGGGCACGGTGCCCCGGTGCCCTCCCCGTTCCGCCGCCTATGGTGGGAGGGCGGCGTGTGGGACTCAGAAGGAGACTAATGGCTTGTGTTGTTCCTTTGGTAGGACCCTCAGTATCACCGATGCAGGGCCTTCAGAGCCTCCAATTAGGGGCCTTTAGAGGCTCTGGTGTGGGGTCCTCACATACGCCCGTGTGGCCCCTCAGAGGTGCTAGTGTGAATCCCTCATAAGCACCGGTGAGGGTCCTCACAGAATACAGACGCCGTTGTGGACCCTCAGAGACACTGGTGTGGGTCCGTTACATGTGGGTGTGTGGCCCTTAGAGCTGCTGGTGCGAACCCTTTAAAAGTCGGCAGGGGGCCCTCAACGACCGGGGAGGGGGACCTCAGACCGGCAAGGGGCCCACAGAGGCCGGCGGCATCTTCAGAAGCCCTGTGGGGTCCTTAGATACCGACAAGGTACTCTGAGACGCCAGTGCGGCCCTCAGTCTCTGATGTAGGGCCCTCAGAGTTGCAGGTAGGTGGCCGTCAGATATGCTTTTGCCGAACCCTCACAGGCGCAGGTGTGGGTACCTCAGAGCCACCAATATAGGGTTGCATAAATGGTGTGGCACTGGCTTGGGGGACCCTCAGTGGTGTCCTTATGGGCCCTTAGAACCACTGGTGTGGGTCTCTCAGAGGTGCTGGTTGTGAACCCTCAGAGGCCCTGCTGAGGGCCCTCACGGTCTCCGTTATGGGATCCTAAGAAGCCGGCGTAGACCCTGACGGAGATCTTAGTGTGGCTACTTAGGGGCTCATGAGGTGCTCTTACGAGACCTGTGAAGTCTTTCTCAGCTGAAATATAGTCAGCGTGGACCCTCAGAGGTCAGTTGGTACCGCAGGGGTCTTTATGGCCGGGTGGGCTCTCAGAAGCACCAGTGAGGGCCCTGTCTCACAGTCGTCGTAATGGGGCCGTCTGAGACATTGGTGTGAGGCCATTACTGATTACAGGTTGGCGTAAGGCCCTAGATATGGCCCCTCTTGGGCCGGCAATGACTCTCAGAGGCACGCTAGCGGCCATAAGAGGCCGGTAAAGGGCCCTCAGAGGCCGCCAGTAGCCTTCAGAAGCCGGCGTGTAACCCTCATGGACAATTTAGTGAGGCTTCTTTGGACTCACGAGGTGCTGTTACGAGCCCTATTCTTTCTGAATCGAAATATGGCCAGCATAGACCCTGAGCGGTAAACTGGTGCCACAGAGCCCCTCCGACCCGAGGGGTCCTCTGAATGCGATAGGGGGGGGGGGGGACTAGATGGCACGTGCCTCCTGGGACCCCCTGACTACGCTACTATTTCATATGCGTCATGTCAGGTATTTTGTGCTTGCACCCCAACTTGAAGAATGTTCCTGGGCCCCTGTGACAATATATTGTATTCATTATAGGTATTCGTCATTAGCTTGCACTCTCTGCAATCTGCCCATACTATTATTTGTCCCTAGACGCGCTTACAGAAAGCAGGGATAAGCCCATACAGTCAACGGCCTGTTAGTTTCGCAAACAGCCGCCAGGGGCGCTAGGGTCGCCTATGTTGTGAGATAGGGCAAACTTCTCTCGCTCGGCGCCGCCTGGGGGTTAAAATTTGCGGGAAATTAACAATGCCACGCCCTTTCCACATGAGTGGAGCACAATAAAATCGATGGAGCACCTTGCATTGCGATTAGTGACACACCCTAATAAGGAAGTTATTTCTGGCTTTTCTTCGCCTCTCATTGGTCAAATGAATTGACCACGTGAATTCAACCAATGAGGAGCCAAGAAATAGCAACATGCTTATAAAAAAACTGACCAAACAGCACCCTGATTTATTCCATAAAAATACATATTTGTGAGTTGTGACTATTCAGTCACAGTGCTCTTCCAGTTCCAACAGTTACTTGGTGGCTGGTGCCCAAACTCTACAAAAAGTAGAACAACTTTCCTTTGTTTGTTTTTTTTTTTGTTTCCCACTTAGCACTAACAGCCCTAATCAAATCACAAAAGCATACTAATTTTTAGTTTTGACAGTGTAGCATCAGCTCTGAAGTTTAGCACCTTACCTACCACTGTTTGGCGTGGCTGTTCCGTATGGAGGAGCCACGCCAACGTGTGAAATCCACACCGCACCATGGAGTAGGATCTACAGGCTACACCAGAGAAAATCAGCAAAGACTGGTTGTATTGTATGTATGTATATGTGTCTGTGTGGGTGTGTGTATCATGTATTGACTGGGCCGTAATAGCCACTTGTGGACAAGCCCTAAATAAACGAAACGAAACGAAATGAGTCTGGGCTAACACAAAGAAGCATAGAAAATTGTATGCTTTGCAGCCTGGTCATAAATTACTTTAAATGTTGTATCATATCTTTGTTGTCTACATGAATAATACCCTTGAAGTGTCACTGTTTCTGTCTAATAGTGATAGATGATAGGTATATCATCTTTGCAAGACTAGGTATATAAAATGTTCAATATTTTCTTTTCATAAAGCTAAAACCAAGATAGGACTTATTGGGGCTATTATCTGTGTATTTCACCTTCAGGTCAGCATCCTGTCCCGGAAGCTGGGCAGTAAGACGGAGGCTCTGGCTATCATGGCCAAGGAGCTGGAGCAGTGCCGACAGGACCGAGACCAGTTCCGTGCGCTGCTGGAGCAGCTCCGTGGCAGTCACAAGGTGAGATGTTCCTCCCCCCTTTACATATGAGAGCTAACTTGTGGCTGCCTTCAGCGCTACAGTAACGGGAGCCACCGCAGTGTGTCACTCGGCCCTGCCGGCCGCTGTGCTCTCACTACTCGCTGTGACGGCGTGTCCAGGCGGCGGCGGGCAGCAGCTGGAGCGCGGTGGCCACCGACGCCGGCCTGCGCCACCAGCTGGCCCTCTCCCGGCAGCAGTGCGCCGAGCTGCAGCACACCGTCACCGAGCTCACCGTCAAAATGGAGGAGGTCTGCGGAGACATGATGGTATGTGCGCTTAGTACAGCTACTAGGGACCCTTCGAATGTAGAAGGAGCGTGTTGGCGTGGGATCCTGAACTCGTCGAAAAATAACGTTTTGTTGTATTAGACGTCAGATGAGCGGCTGTATCTCTGTTATTTAGGTCACGGCAGCTGTAGATTTGGTTTGGGCGTGTGTTGTATCGCGTCTCGCGTGTCTCTGGTTCTACGGCTGCCGGAAGAGGCACGTTTACGTTGTGCTGCCCTGAGTCCTGACAGGCATTTTTCATACGTTGTGCTGCCCGTTTGCGGTGTGATGTTTCTTGCACTGTGTGTGACCATCGGTCATGCGACAGATCAGTGACCGTTGGTGGCTGCTCTCGACGAGTTCTGCGTCGTGACGCTGTACGCCGCCGGCGGGCTGTCTGTTACACTGTGTCTCTGTGTCCGCCGGTGGTGGGCTGTCTGTTACACTGTGTCTCTGTGTCCTCTCGGCGGTGGTGTGACTGTCGCTCTCGGCAGGTGCTGCGCCGTGACGCTGTGCGCCGCCGGTGGGATGTCTGTTACACTGTGTCTCTGTGTTCGGCGGTGGGCCGTCTGTTACACTGTGTCTCTGTGTCCGCCGGTGGGCTGTCTGTTACACTGTGTCTCTGTGTCCGGCGGTGGTGTGACTGTTACACTGTGTCTCTGTGTCCGGCGGTGGGCCGTCTGTTACACTGTGTCTCTGTGTCTTCTCAGCGGTGGTGTGACTGTCGCTCTCGGCAGGTGCTGCGCCGTGACGCTGTACGCCGCCGGTGGGCTGTCTGTTACACTATGTCTCTGTGTCCGCCGGTGGTAGTGTGACTGACCGTTGGTGGCCGCTCTCGGCAGGTGCTGCGCCGTGACGCTGTACGCCGCCGGTGGGCTGTCTGTTACACTATGTCTCTGTGTCCGCCGGTGGTAGTGTGACTGACCGTTGGTGGCCGCTCTCGGCAGGTGCTGCGCCGTGACGCGGTGCGCCGCCGGTGTCCGGTGCGCGCCGACTCTGCAGAGTCCTCAGCGGAGAGCACCGAGGACATGGTCCACAAGATGGAGCAGCTCCAGGACCAGGTCAGTCGGCCCTGACCTCACCGAGTCAGGCTGCGGCTGGTGATACCGCGGAGAATGTGAATGAAACGGAGACAAAAAAAAATTATAATCGTCATTACGGTCGGTTTTATCAGCCGACTTAATTGACTTGCGAATGCCAATTCTTACTCTGTTGGGCGACTCGCTTCCACCGTTGTACGGAACTGTGCCCCGTATTCCTCTTGAGTCTGTGTAGCCAGCCGCGGGCGCTATCTGTACGAACTGACAGCCCCGCGCTATTGCGACCAACTGCAACGATGATCTTTCGCTGTTTAACATAATCTAACTCTTACTCACCCTCAGTGTGACCTGTGGCTGCGACGCTGTGACGTGTGCCTGTGACATGCTGCAGCTGCAATATGACTCTGACTCCAACCCCCGTTAGTGTGACCAGTTGTGGGTGTATAGCGCGTGACAGTCTGACTCTGACTGCGCGACCAGCTGCGGCTGGGATGTGACTCTGACTGCCCGTCAATGTGACATGACTCGCTCCCTCCCTTCAGTGTGACCAGCTGCGCCGTGACCTGGAGCTGACGTTGGACGAAAAGGAGGAGCTGGTCACCCAGCGGGACGCGTACAAGGGCAAGACGCACCGGCTGAACCACCAGCTGCAGGTGGCGCTGCGCGCGCCGGCCGACAGCGCCCTCGACGTCGACTCGCTGGTCACAGAGAACAGGTGGGCAGTCAACCGGGTGGCTGACGGGCAAATGGACGATGCGGTAACGCTAATGAATTTATCGTGAAAGTATTTGGGAGCTCGTTGAATCACTGTGTCCAATTATTTGGCAAGAAATGCAGATATGTATAATGCAGAATATGCCAGCAGACCGTTGCGCACCGATTTTCCGCTTTCTACCGATTTGTTGACGACTACGACAGTGCGTCGACTAATGATATGGTCGCTCGTTGTTACTTTATTTTTGCTTTGTTGGCTGTCTGTCATATTGCTTTCCACTTATCGATGTTGGGTTGGTTCACTCGATGGCGACTTGTGCTGACTCTGTCTGACCTCTGTTGGTCAGGTACCTCCGGGAGCAGCTGTCGACGTCTCAGGACGAGCTGGAGCGGCTACAGAGGGTCTGCTCAAAGTACAAGGTGAGTGCTCTGTCGTGTACAGGCGCTTTCGGTGCCGCCAGTTTTATAATAATCGTGATTAACTGCGTTGATGAATATGGGTGCTAACATTACTCTGTAAAGTGTAATGTCTGACACTTCCAGGCATGTGTCCTGTCACAACTCCTAGCTTGGGATCGTCTAACATTGGTTCAGGTAGCCTGTAAATTGTCCTTAGTACGGCGACTAGATAGGACAGATAGTGCCATTGCATGCTAAATGCTAATACATTAACACGTGCTGTCTCCTGCCATGGTCAGACGGAGTGGTGTGTCAAGCAGAAAAATCCGCTGGAAAATCCACACGTCTATGGTAAAAGTACAGTGTGCGAACTGGCGTTCCAGTATAGTCTAGCCACTACTAGTCGGTATGGTTAGTCGGACCTGGGTGCAGAAAATCTGTATCGTCATGGTCGTTTTGTGTGAGCGGCTCCTCAATAGTGAATGTAAAACCACCATGGGTACTGGATGAACATTGGGCGTAGTATCCAGTTAAGTAGGTGCTACCGTCGCTCTTGTGACGGCTGTGACTGGTGCGGCTTGGTGGGGGAGAACCCTGGTGGTGGTGGTGATGGTTGTCAGGTAGTGCTAGTGCTAGTGGTGAAGGTGTTTAGTCAGTTTGCTTAACTAACGATGTGAGTGAGACTGAACTGGCCCGTCTCTACACTGCTGTGCGTACCCCCATTGATAACGCGCCGCTGGCTGGCAGCCGGTGCGCCGGCCCACTAATGGAAATGGTGGTGGTTGGTCGGCCTGTTCCTGACCCTCCCCGTCCTCCGTCCCCTCCCGAACCGCTCTCACCAACAGTCGCTGACCCTCCCCGTCCTCCGTCCCTCCCGAACCGCTCTCACCAACAGTCGCTGCTCGAGGCTCGTAAGAAGAAGGGCATTCTGCGTCCCGGCTCCTCCGACTCCTCGGCTCTCATTGTCACGAAGCGCCAGGGTATGTATGTACCCGGACTTAAAGTCTGCTTCACCGATACCCGGACCTGGGAGAGGCGGGGACATACCGGGCTCAGGGTCAGGGTCAGGGGTCAAACCAGCTGAGTGTGATGCAGCATGTGGATAATGGGACACCGACCGCCCGGTATGTGGAGAGAGGCACGTGCGTCCCACACTGGTGATGGCGATACGGCTAACAGGGTGGCTCATTGGGTGTCAGTGCCCAGTGGACTGCACTAACGGTTCATACAGATCCGGTAGGAATCGCTAACTCTAGTCTAAATGATGCCACGTTTCGGTCTGAGGGTTCCTCTTTGCTCTGGATTCTCACCCACTCAGTGTTCGTGATCTTGCTACCTGAGCTGATCGATTCCCTGTCTGTATCTGATCTGACCGGTGAATCGGCCAGTGACCTGAGTCGACAGGTCACCCGACTTGACGCTCCCGATCTGACCGGTCCGCCGGCCAGTGGCCGAGATGCTGCGCTCGCAGGGCGACGGCCAGCTGTTGGACACGCCGGCCACGCTGTCGGACCTGCGCTCGCTGTGCGCCGCGCTGCTGGAGCAGCTGCAGGACAAGTGCACGGCGCTCACCCACCAGAGGAAGGCCAACAGGTCAGTCAGAGCACAGCACTCCACTTAGAGGGGCATGTTATAGTCTCCCAAACAGACTGTTCGTGTAGTTAGGCCAAATGGCAGGTCGCGATTGAAAACTATGAGAAACTTAAATTATTGGCACACTTATGCGATGCGATACGTGTTAGATTAGGTGTGTCCACAGACCTCTGTACAATGTGTCTAGGCTTACAGAGGTCTGTGGTGTGTCCTACATTTAAGGACACTTCATGCCTCGCTGGACTGTAGCTATCTATCTGACGTCTTGGCTGTTGGACAGGCTGCTGGCCGAGCAGTGTGCGGCGCTGAGGCAGCAGGCAGCCCGACACGGGCTCTCCATCCAACCGTCAGCGGATCTCATGGCAGGTGAGTGCGCAGCGGGACGGCCCGACGGTTCACCCCGCCCCGGCGAGGCTGCTGGAGTGTAATGTGTGTCCGTTTTCCTCGTGGGGACGCTGTTGACTGGTGTCGGTTTCAGGATACTCTGCTACACACATAGACCGAGAGAGTGAACAGCTGCTGGCCGATGATGACCCGGAGGTCGCTCCCAACGGCGCGGACAGCGCCGCCAATCCCCGGGCCGACGGCAGCGCTCCGCCATCCCCGGCTCGGGCTGGAGCGGCCGCTGCTCCTCCGGCCACCAACGGCGCAGAGCGGCACAGTCCGCCGGACCGGCCGACCCATCAGCCGCCGCACCAGTCTAGTCCGGGCCAGAGCGGCGACCGGCCGACCCGCCAGCCGCCGCACCAGAGTCCGGGCCAGAGCGGCGGCCGGTCCGCGGGCCCGGCGACCCCGGCACGCTCCCCGGGCCGGCCCCAGCGGCGGCCGCAGTACGAGGACGATGAGGACGAGGAGATCCTCTCCATCCAGGAGCTGGACCGCTACGTGCGCTGTCTGCGGCGGCCGGCGCCGGCTGGTCCGGAGCGGGACGGCGGGGCGGCGGACTGCGCGCCCGCCAGCCCGGCGCGGTCCCAGGCGGACAGTGAGCCGGGCAGCCCGCGCGCACCGCCCGCTCCGGGCCAGGGCAGCCCGCGGCGGCCCGCGGCACAGCCGGCCGTCCAGGTGGTGGGCAGTCCGGTCCGCTCGGAGTCGCAGACGGCGCCGCCCGGCGATACGGACTCCGGCGAGCTGCCCGCAGAACTGGAGCGGCTCTACAGACAGGCGCTGGACCAGCTGCGGGCCGGCGACCAGGCCACGTGACCGGCCGCCTGATCCGGGCAGCGGACCACGTGACTGGTGTCCTGCACCGGCGACTAAATGACAACACCGGCCCCGTGACTCGTCAACCAGACCACATGACCTAACACCTGCATTGGCGACCAGATCACGTGACCGGTTGCCTGACCTGGTGAGGGGAGAACGTGGTCGGCTACCTGACTGTGACCACCGGCCGCCAAATCCGGCGACTAGATCACGTGACCGGCCGCCTTACCCGGTGTGTGATTGACGTGACGGGAGCCGTCGTGCCTGTCCTGCAGGACGGGCCAGTGGCCCGGTCGAGCTGACAGATCAGGCCCGCTGACAACCCGTGAACCAGCGGCTGGTCGTTTAGTGAGCCAAGATCGCTGACCGTGGCACGCTGATTGAGCTATGACAGGTGGCGCAGTCAGTATTCGTGGTACGGCGACCGATCTGGGCGGGCGTTATCGCTGGCGAAGTGGCTGCCTGTCGGGACTTCTGCAGTGCCATAACCTTGTCATGGCCGTATCACGGCCGTGGCACTCGTGCCGTGACCGTGGTATGTCACCGACTTGTCAGGATAGACGAAACATGCGTACTTTGGGAGTGATACAGGAAACTTACGCATTCCTTAAGGGTCTCCTTTCACGGTGATCGCTTATTAGGTGTATTTAAAGCCCCATGCTTATTTATTTACTTCGTTGTCTAGTCATGTTCTGTGATAGTTTTCTCTTCAGCGTTGTTTTCGTGTATGAATTTGAATATATGAACCATTCCTTTATTATCTACCAGCATGAAAAATGCCTGTTTGAAAGCTAAGTTAAACTATCGGGATTGATTCGTCAATTTCTGTTGTAATCCAGTTTTGGCATCACTGACCTCAATGTATCAACTGTGAACTGGCAGCTTTGACAATTGACCTATGTGCATACCTACGTTACAGTGTTAGGCAGTTATGCTACTTGTCAGTGTGTTATACATGCTTGCCAAATCAATCAGCCATTCAATTTTTTTTTTTTTTTTGGTGGGGATAACTGATTCGCCCGCGTTTTTTTTTTTACCTTATTGTGACACGGAATTCGGTTCGGTTAAGCCCTCTCGCTTGTAAAACATATGAAGGATTGGTTAATTGGAACCTATTATACTAACTCGAAAAGCAGTGACGTGCGTCATGATCAACCGCGCCGGTGTTCAAAGTTCATGTTTGCCTGCTGATCAATGCTCTGTGAACGTTGGTAGGACCGCTAGAGTGAAATTAAAGAGTTGCTTTAGGAAAATGGACGCATTGGCTTGTAGGAGACGGTACGACGATTGCCCGTTCAGCAACGGCAGCATCATGACCTACCACATCTTCAATGGAGGCCTTCAGCTGCCCTCGTGTGGCTATGTGAGGCTGTCCAGCGCGACAGTGAGGCCATGGTTGGAGAGAGTAGCCATGTGGCCATCGGTTCGCATGCCAACAACACTTGTCAGAGTCAAATGCCACCTTTGGGAAACTTCTCAACCTCAAAGGGCCGAACATTTAGCCCCATAACTCTAAATACTGCAATCTTATGAACCACTGCTTATGTGGTGTAGCTGATGAAAACACCAGCGATGCCTGTTGTAACATCAAAGTCAATCTCGCAGCAAGTGTGAAGATGATGTCCTCATGATGTTCAAGACAGCCCATATTCAGCCAAATCCAGCCCGGATTCAGCCCAGATTCGGGACACCTCAGATCGGCGCCATATAACCTTCCGAGTTGAGGCGCCCCTAAACCCCAACACCTTAGATCGAGCTGAAACTTGCACACACGATGTAGGCCGTGACATGCACAATCCACAGTCTGAGTCAGTCGGTGGCACTCCCAGCCGTTTGACCTACAGAGGCCAACAAAGGTCACGTGTCCCAAATTTAAACAGTAGTTAGTGGCTCACCCAGTGAAGCTAGAGCGCTAAAAACGGCAACAAGCAACTCGCAGGCATCTAATCTCACTTTCCCACCAGCAATTTGACCTCCTAAGGTCATGCGATGACCTAAGGTCATTTGCGGGTTATGCCGAAAATAGGCACACACCGCACAGCGATTGTCGAGTACAAGGATCGACCGAATTACAAATCAAAGCATGCCATCAATGAAAATTGCTAGTGGAAAAGTAAGATTAGATGTCTGGGAGTCGTTTGGTGCCGTTTTTAGCGCTCGTCTACCTCCAATGTGCTGGATCCACAAACTGCTGTGCAAATTTTGGTCTGTGACCTTTGCTGACCTCTGTAGGTCAAACGGCTGGGAGTGTCACCGAATGAGTCGGACTGTGCATTGGGCATGTCAAGGCCTACATTGTGTGCCTTTAATGATATTGTCAGTACCCGGTAGTAGGTGTCTTGTACTGTTCCAACAGCATTCATTATGTAAAGTGCGCTTCGCGCTCAAACGAACATTCGACAACAATTTATTTTCCAAGGTGCATCGAAACTGGTTTCGTTTTTATTGCTAGCAGGACAATGTTTCCCGATAAACATGGATAGTTTCATTTTGGCTGACTTAGATCAGGTCCTTGATGATGGCCATGAGGTCGATGGATTCGATAAAGCTGCGCAGCATCGGCTCCAAGATGAGGTTGATGATGTCGACTACGATGCCGTCCAGCAGGTTGACGATGGCCTCGGTGAGCGGCTCCAGCAACCAGTCGAAGATGCCCAGTCCTGTGATGTCCACGTCAATCTTGCCGACCTGCTCGATTTTGAAGTCGACCAGCTCGATGGCCAGCGTCTGCGAGGAGATCTTGGCGCTGAAGAAGACGCTCGTCTCGGTGATGGTGGCCGTGGCGGTGACGTCGGGGCCGATGCCGATCACCTCGATCTTGCACGAGTAGCCGGCGCCGAAGCCGTTGAAGCCGATGTGTCCGGAGATGCCGAGCCACTCGCCGTCGTAGGACATGATGGCGTCGCCGGTGCGGTGCACGTTCGAGAGCCCGTCCAGGTGGCCGTCGTGCAGCACCACGCCCGTGCCGAGAACGGCGAGCTTCTCATCGGGCAGCGGCAGCGGGTCCAGGCCGTTGTCGAGCACCAGGTGGCGGGCGTTGGCCAGGGTGCGGTCGAAGTAGTCGTTGGCGTTGGCGGTGGACTGGAGCGGCTCGGCGGCCAGCTGCTGCTCCAGGGCGCGCTGCAGCAGACGCACCAGGCGCTGCTGGTCGGGCACGGCCGCCCGCGCGGCCCCCAGCACGGCCAGCGCCAGCACCCAGCGAGCGGCGGAGACCTGGCGCACGGCCGGCACGGTCAGCGGACGGCTCAGGACGGTATAATACATATGGATACCGTATATAGCCAGCAGCTGGTGCTTACCTGAACCGGGCCCCTCGGACAACCAGCCGAAATTAACGGTGTCTGGGATCTCTGTTGGCATTGTCAGTGCTCAGTGGCGTTGTGCCGTTGCTGGTTGATAATGCCCACATTACCAAGTGTTACCTGCGAGACGGGCTGGATCTGCATTATGTCATGCGCTCCTACGTAGGTAGGTACTTGCTGAGCTACGTTTCGGGTTGAGCACTGTTCAGTCTGAGCACACCAGTAGAAATCGATGAGAAACTCGCCTGGTGGAAACTTTTACGTTGCCCTGCTTTGTGCGATATGAATCGCATTCCAAATGAAGTTGGAAGGAACATTATGCTTAGAAATTGTGGAATGGAACGAGCTTAATGGAACGAATGCTGTCTGAGATATAGGTAAATTGCAGCTTGGAGTGAAGAATACCTATATGATGGAGATTATGTCATCCTCTCTATACCTAACTGTGAACGCGAAATTTAAATGAGTCGGTGAAATTTGAGCGTTGTTAATAAACCACAGTTCAAGAGCATTTGAATGTTAGCAATTGCATTTGAATGCTAACAAAGCTATTGAATTATTTAGGGCCACATAAAGTAATTGGCGCTTCAACGGACGGGATGGCCTGAGTCCGGCTCGATAACAACTTGTTTTGCAGATGAGCGCTGGCAAAAGTTGTGCGTATGTGACGGGAGGAGACGTACCTGCATCTTGACGCCGAATGCAGCTGTGAACTGTCTGAGGGACAGTCGTGTGAGGTGTGAGGGTCTTTGGGCAGCATGTGCGCGCTCCCACGCGCCCCCGATAGGAGCTCTGTCAAGGCCTCGCTCTCGCCTGAGCCGCTCCCGTCTGGGGAAGATAGCCGACCCGCCGGTCTGCCCCCGGGTGGAGCGCTCGCCGACCCGGGCTGCCCCCGGGTGCAGCGCTCGCCGACCCGGGCTGCCTCAGACGGAGAGGCCGCCGATCCGCGGGCCATTACGGCGCTGTTAGGATGCGGCGCTGGCCGGCATATGGCCCCGATATATCGCCGTCATCACTCTCAGATCGGCGCGGCGGCCGCGAAGCCCCTGAACGGCCGGGGGGAAGCCGGCTGGGAGCGGGCGGGAGGCGGGGGTCGGGGGCGGGGCGCGGCTCTGACCCACCGTCAGTTGGAACGGTACCCGCGCTCACGGAGATAGCGAGCCGACCATGGGTGAGTAAACGGCCGCCGCCACCTGCCGTCGAACGAAACGAAACCGAGATATTTCTGTTTTCACTGCTTAGCTTTATTTACTGCCAATCATTTCAGTTCTTACGTAATTATGTACTGTTTTCTTCCTCACGCTACTGGCGCCTACAACGCCTATCTGTCATGCTCGACTTTACGTTGCTGCAAAACGAAATAGCTATCCCAAGTCTCCCAGCTCATGCCAGTGACATCTGCCTGTACTTACGTCCCTCCGTCTTGTCTAGCTCATCTGTGTTAGCGCCGATACGTCTATTTTTCCGTCAATCCCTCCCTCCATCCAACCATCCGTCCACCTGTCATTTGTCCATCCGTCGATATACTCTATTCAATACTCATCAAGTCATCAGTCCGCTCGACTTTCCGTCAAGCCTTTTATACGTTTAACGACTTCCCGTCTAGGCATCTGTAGATCCTTTCCTTCCATTCGTTCGTATACGAATGGAAGGAAAGGATCTGTATTCCGACCATTACGAGTAAATCCATCCACCCGTTTCCACACGACCGCTGCATACGTCTACCCGATAACCCGATTGGTCCATCGGTCCATCCGTCAGTCCGCCCGTCTGTCCGTCCGCTGTCCCCGCTGAGTCTCCTCTCGGCCCGTTCGTTTCGGTCACGCCAGCTGCGGCGGCGGCGACAGGCAAGTTCGGCTCGTTCTCGTACCCGGACGGCTGCAGCTACGTGGGCGACTGGAACGAGGCCGGCCAGCGGCACGGTCACGGCCAGATGACGTTGGCGGACGGCGCCGTCTATCAGGGCGGCTTCGCCAACGGCTTCTTCAACGGGCTCGGCGTCATCGTCTTCTCCGACGGCGCAAAGTGAGGAGTTTAGCTGTGGCTAGCCTTATTGAGTTCGTTAAACTATTTTAGTTAATAACAAGATGTGTATTGTAGCGTTATGATATCCGAGTCGATTGTTTGTGGCTTAACTACATCATGCACACACCGCACGTCCACACCACATGCTAGCCACCAAACAAGAGGTGATTGGATGATCGGGCACGAATTCAAAACAATCAACTCATTCAAATGAGCACTCAAATTGTCAGGGCACGTCTGAGGTGCGCGTCAATCCCCAGCTGAGCCGGCCGATATGAGTTCAGCCGGCAGCCGTTCCATGGATGGCCGTCCGTCACTGCTCCAGCCAGTCGGCTGCGGCACGTGACGGCCGCTCTGTCGGGGGCCGTGCATCATCCGGTGCCGACCGCCGCGACCCGCCCCTGACGCCATCGTCAGAAGGGGGCACGCGACGATGGGGGGGGGGGGAAGGGGTCAGCGGCCGGCGGTCCACTGCCGACAGCAGCCTCCGTCCCCGGGTCAACGCTGTCACCGTGCTGGCCTCCGCCGTTCCTGAACCAGACCATTGTTCCAATAGTGGTCTGGCTGCCTCTTTCCCCGGCCGCTGACCAGTGACCGAAGCTGGCTAATGTCAAGGGCACTGGTCCCTTTTCCCTACCAGCGCCGGCGACTGTCCCTATGGAAGCCCTGCCGCCGTCCCAGACCAGCGCTGGCCGCCGTCCCCGACCATCGCTGGCCGCCGTCCCCGACCAGCGCTGGCCGCCGTCCCCGTCCGTCCCGCGCTGACCGCCGTCCCCGTCCGTCCCGCGCTGACCGCCGTCCCCGTCCGTCCCCGACCAGCGCTGGCCGCCGTCCCCATCCGTCCCCCGTGCACTGGTCCGACGGCGCTCGCTGCTGGCACTGATCGATCGCACCGTACGCCGGAACATGCACACAGCACTGCTCAGACGACGCGACTCGAACCAACACCATCGACTATAAAGCCTGGAACGCCTCGTAAAATGACGATTCTGAAATGAAATCGCGATTTGATGGCGAGTAGGCGGCCGTCGCATTCGTATTGCCACACGACAGGCTACGCAATGGGATCCGTTCGCGCACGGACGGCCTGGGCGGCCTGCATCCAGGAGTGCTCATTTGCCAGGTTCCTTATTGTTGTTGAATTGTTTTCTGACGCAGTAGTTGATGTTCGCTGTGCCGTGACCTGACCAGTAAAGCCGTGAGCGACAGCTCCACATTGTTGGTCCGCATATTCGGCACGGCATTGTAAAATGTTGAGCCTCCCTCACAATAGTGATTGCATTGCACCCATTGCTCATAAATCGTACCTTTTAAAATCATTCATTATTAGGTATAACATTTCTTTTGTGACCATGAATAATAACCAGGACTTAATTTGATATAATTAATATAATGTATAGGGTACCTATGTAAAAATTAAAATGTAGGTATGCATAATGCATATGGGGCGTTCCACGACAAATCGACAAATAAAAAATTAAATTTGCACCCTCATATTTTATTTTTCGTTGAAAACTGGTGTAAGGGGTTGTGATGGGCGGGGAAGCCAGCTGTGGCAAGGATTTTTTTCTTCGAACAACGGTTTCCGAGATATAGCCTCGGGCAATTCCTGGAGGTCGCGCTGCAGCCCTATGTTTGGCGGCCTATAACTCAGAAACTCTTGGTTTTCTACGATAAAAACTTTATATGGTTCGACTCACAATCAGCCAACAAACATTTTGGCTATCTCGGATTTTCAATTTTTGAAAATTTTGATCACGTGACCTTTTGACCTATTTTTCGAAGAGTGACCTTGATATTTTCCCCACTGAAAGTTGCAATTTTGTCTGATGACGATTAAAGCCTTATCAATTGTCATTCATATGCGAAAATAAAAAAAGTGGATATCGCCCTGCGTTGACCTCAGGTCAGGTCATTTTTATGACCTGTCCATTATTACGAGCGGGAGCGACAGCGAGATCTCGAGAATAAAGCAAGATAGCTACAAGCGGTAAACGGTGCAGGGTACAAATGGATAAGGTCTATAATTTTTACTAAGGTCATTTTCAGGTCAGGTCAAACATGACGTCACAGGAGCAAAAAGGAAGCCAAAATTGCGGCACTACATATATATGAAGTTTTTCTAGAATAACTTTCAAGGTATCCCATCTAGGAAGAAACTAATAGCACCATCGTGATCCTCTCGTCGATCCGCATCGAAATATATGTATGTTGACCTCGGAAGGTCGAAAGGTCAAAAGTTGACCTTAGGTCACGTGACGAGCGGGAGCGACAGCGAGATCTCGAGAATAAAGCAAGATAGCGACAAGCGGTAAACGGTGCAGGGTACACACGGATAAGGTCTATAATTTTTATAGAGGTCATTTTCAGGTCAGGTCAAAGATGACGTCACAGGAGCAAAAAGGAAGTCAAAATTGCGGCACTACGTATATGAAGTTTTTCTCGAATAACTTTCAAGGTATCCCAGCTAGGAACAAACTAATAGCACCATCGTGATCCTCTCGTCGATCCGCATCGAAACATATGTATGTTGACCTCGAAAGGTCGAAAGGTCAAAAGTTGACCTTAGGTCACGTGACCTTAGGTCAACTTTTGACCTTTCGACCTTTCGAGGTCAACATACATATGTTTCGATGCGGATCGACGAGAGGATCACGATGGTGCTATTAGTTTGTTCCTAGCTGGAATACCTTGAAAGTTATTCGAGAAAAACTTCATATATATGTGGTGCCGCAATTTTGACTTCCTTTTTGCTCCTGTGACGTCATCTTTGACCTGACCTGAAAATGACCTTAGTAAAAATCATAGACCTTATCCATTTGTACCCTGCACCGTTTACCGCTTGTCGCTATCTTGCTTTATTCTCGAGATCTCGCTGTCGCTCCCGCTCGTAATAACGGACAGGTCATAAAAATAACCTGACCTAAGGTCAACGCAGGGCGATATCCACTTTTTTATTTTCGCATATAAATGACAATTGATAAGGCTTTATTCGTCATCAGACAAAGTTGCAACTTTCAGTGGGGAAAATATCAAGGTCACTCTTCGAAAAATAGGTCAAAAGGTCACGCGATCAAAATTTTCAAAAATTGAAAATCCGAGATAGCCAAAATGTTTGTTGGTTGATTGTGAGTTGAACCATATAAAGTTTTTATCGTAGAAAACCAATAGTTTTTGAGTTATAGGCCGCCAAACATAGGGCTGCAGCGCGACATCCAGGAATTGCCCGAGGCTATATCTCGGAAACCGTTGTTCGAAGAAAAAAATCCTTGCCACAGCTGGCTTCCCCGCCCATCACAACCCATTAGACCAATTTTAAGCAAAAAATAAAAAATGAGGGTGCAGGGCACTTGTCGATTTGTCGTGGAACGCCCCAGCGCATGTCGTGGAGCGCATGACATATATGTCATGCGCTCATTATGTACTTACCTACACTCTCACTTATATAATGAGCTTCCGTGCACTGTGAGCTAGGTTCAATCGCGACAACTCAGAGAACTATTGGCAAACGGCACGCCGAGATCCAGTTTCCGCTTCCCCGCTGGTTGTGAATTTACCGGGTGTTGGAACAAGCCCAGCTTCCCTTTATTGTTTCTATGCACAGGATAACGTTCCGCTGAGATGACAGGCGGCTGGATAGGTCATCATCAGTGCATGACGCTCTCACGGACTGGAGCCTTGTTCTTTACCGTGTGCTCGATCACACTGCAGGTACGAGGGCGAGTTCGCACAGGGCTGGTTCCACGGTCACGGCATCTTCTGGCGGTCGGATGGCATGCGGTACGAGGGCGAGCTGCGCGGAGGACGCCTCTGGGGCCACGGTGAGCCGGTGCCTTCTCACGGGTACAGATAACAGTACACACTGCGACATAGATAGATACCTATAGCACCCACGGCGACTGCGGCTGGGGCCTAGTAGTGCTGCTCGTAATGTAATAGTAATGCAGATGAACGCGCAAACTTTATGCTATGATGGTAAAGACTGTGATTGGACTGTGACAAGTTCATGAACTTTGAAGACTTCTCAGAAAACCAAATGGTCTTTGTCATACTGATTATTTCCATTTCCTACTTGGACTGATTATTTTTCCTCATCTTTAACTATCATCATGCAGCAGAAAAGTAATCAAGTTGTGCGCACGACAAGGCAGAACTAAAACGATCTCTCCTTCGTTTCGCTCATTGCAGGTCTGATGACCTACAGCGACGGATCACACGGCTTTCCGCGGCAAGAAGGCTTCTTCCAAGACAGCAGATTTATTCAGAAGAAAAAGTGTTCAAAAGTAATCTCACGCGCCCAGAAAGTTGCTTTGCTGGCTAGGCGGCAGTGCGAGTGATCTGCACGATTCAGTTTTTTTATCATGTATACATAACAAATATGTTATAAGTTGACTTGTCGTCAATTTTACCACGTTTACATGTCAGACTCTACAATACCTACCTGCCACCGCTCTCGCTACTTTGTATAAGTGTAAGATCACGGGTACGTTACTACATGTATCGACGGCCTTTTTGCGGATGCTTCATTACGCTTCGGCCTATCCTAATCCCCTTGGCCCTTGGGTAAGATTACGTCTATCCCAATCCCAATCACTTTTCCAATCCCAATCCCCTTTTCCCATCCTGCTTATTTATAAAAAAAAGCTCAATTTCAACAACGAAGAACGTTTTGAATGTTTTGCTCTGCCCTCTGTTGTCGAAAAGCTCCGTAGGTATTTGGCACACGGCTTACATGGATAAATAAATGTGCGAACAATGTAAGAAAAGAGTCACAAGGGTACGGAATCATCTTCGTGATTAGACTCGAGTACGATGTTTTCCGGTAACGCAGTGCGGACTGCGGCCTTGCGAACCTGCTGTGATGTGTGGGCAACAGCCAGGCCTTGCGGCACAGCCTATGCGGCAGTAGTGTGTAATGCGGCACAGTCTACCCAAACTGTAATGTAATGGATTGTAATCGACCACGTTCCTTTTGGCAGCAGTACCTAGGGTAGGCGCTTGTTGGTGTGACGACAGAAAACACTTCAAATCACTGCCGGGCCCTGGGGTGTAAGAGAAAAATAAGATTATTGTGTTTTCAGTTTTGACTAATGTCCTCTTTCACTAATAAGCAAAGTGACGACTATAAGCGAGCTCGCTCGGCTACTGCAGCTCAGTGAGCAGAGCTGAAAAAGGTTTCAGTTTGATGGCCGACTCGCATTACAGCGATTGGCTGTCGGCTGTGCAGTGCCGTGACCGACTGCGCAGCGATGCTGACCGATCCGTGGCCCGGCCGCACCGGTTCACCGCCGACCGAGCTGGGCCGGTGCTCCGCCAGCCACACGGCCGCCGGCCGCCGACGGACCTGGCCGGAACGCCTTCAGGGGCCCGCCCGGGCCTGCAGGTCAGTCCACTCACGGCTCCGGTAGGCTGTCACAGCTTCCTACGGCCAGGTGGGCTCGTGCGGCACAGTTCGGGCCCTGCGACTCAGCGAGGGGACACCGGTCGCCCTACTGCAGTGACTCGGTCTGTGCCCACCGAGATTGGCAGAAGCTTTGGAATCCTTTCAATGGTAAGTTTGGCGAATTCACCCCCAAATTCTAATGTTGGCTAGATTGGTTAACCCGCGCCGTGCTGGTGGCCTGAGTCTTATGTGTCGTACTGGGGGGAAGGGCGTTTTCACGCCTCCCCCCGTCTAACATGGCTTATGGGCCACGTAGCGACACGCGGTAAGCGGCAATCGAAAGAGCGTCAAAATAATGACGGAAATATTTGATAATATTTAAGGTTAGATCAAAGGTCAGGTTTCCAGAGATCTCAGGTCATCAAAGTTAAAATTTTGTCTGATTTAACAATTTTCGAAACAACCAACGACTAACTCGGGAACCAATAGAGCTACAACGCCGAAGAAAAGCGCATTCGATAGCCCTTTTACAGAACTTTCTTGTCATTGTCCTCAGATTGGATCTCAGGTCAACTATTTAGCCTCCCGTGGGCATAAACTATAAAAATGACAGTTTTAACGAAAACGGTTTTTCGGTAATAACTTTTGACTCAAGCGTGCCACGACACTAATTTTGCCAGCATCATGTTCCTCTCGTCGAGACGCGTCGAGTGAACTATAAGTTGACCTTGAATGGTCGTTTTGAAAATTTGACCTCAGGTCAAGGTAGCTGACCGGCATGGGTCATGTTGCATATCAGTCGATCTGTATTGTTGAGTTGAACACATCTGACGTGCTTTCACCGCTCTATCACCGGTCTCTATCAAAAGTTATAGTGAAAAAACTGCTGGTGAATTTTCATGACCTCACCTAAGATGAACTCAGGGTCACACAGAGCCCGTCACAGTTGCAATTTTCAGATTAAGTCTGTCATGTTTACCTGTGAATCGATGTTTGAGAAGGTTTAGAACGACATTCATCCAAAAGAGGCGCATTTCAATTTTCTTCCATTGACATAATGAAGAGGTCGCTAATCGATCTGACCAGTTAGGTTATAGATAAAAAAAAATCCGAGATGAACATGTTATACATACTGTTACTCTTATCGACTGCTGAAAGTTTCAAAGTGATCGTTCAGTCGGTGTAGCTACAGCGAGCCTTTGCACTTTTCTGTGGTAAGGTCACTTGACGTGACCTGGTGACCTGACCTTGAACGGCCCGGGTCTGAAATTTTCACAATTTGTGTGGAAAAAATGCATGAATAAGTGTACAACAAAACACCCCGCCAATGTAAAACGTCTCACCTATCTCGGAAAAAGCAACGTTGTGGGGAAGCAGCTGCCGCTATGTAAAACGTACACTGTGTGTTCATTATAATGTGTATGGAAAGACAACTGGGAAGGAGTTGTGATAGCTTTTTATGGAGATGCAGACAAAAATTTGCTATCCGAGTGTTCTTTATATTTACTGTCGTATTATGCACAAAAGGACTCTCAATTGATGCATATTAGCTTAACGACTTGAATATGTTTTCTAACAACATTTAACGCTTCTTATGCCGGTTTGGTTCGTGTTAACACTCGCAACGAAGTCTGCGCCAACTTCGTACCGACGGGGGGGGGGGTGGGCGGATGACCGCCCCCCCTGAGATCTCGAGAACAAAGCAAGATAGCGACAAGCGGTAAACGGCATCGGATACGCACGGACAAGGTCTACAATTTTTACTAAGGTCATTTTCAGGTCAGGTCAAAGATGACGTCACAGGGGTCAAAAAAGTCAAAATGGCGGCGCTAGATATGGCGTGAGTTTTTCTCGAATAACTTTCGAACTGGTCAAGCTAGGAACAAACTAAGGGCACCATCGTGATCCTCTCGTCAATCCGCATCGAATGATATATGATTTGACCTCGAAAGGTCAAGGTCAAAGGTTGACCTCAGGTCACGTGACCTCGAGGTCATCATGTATATCAATCGATGCGTCTTGACGAGGGAACACAATGAGACCATCCGCGCGGCTGTATCTTGTTACTGTACCGAGTTATTGGCAAAAAACCGCTGGTGACCTTTGATGACGTCACATGACCTTACAGCTGCCCAACAGCAAAACAGACCATAAGGTAGTGAAGGTTGATCGTATATGAAGTCATGTATGGTATATGGGGCCATTCCGACCCGTTTTAGTGGTAAAAACAGGAAGTTGATTTTTCCTCCATTGACTTATAATGGGGAGGTCGAGAAATTGACCTGACCTTAGGTCATCGATATCAAAATTCCGAGATATACAAATTGTAGCTACTAATGACTTCATAACATCCTGCGACTTTCAAAGGCCTCCAACATCTACTGTAGCTCTGGCACGGTAACAAAGTTGCAAAAAAGTGACTTGAGGTTGGGTTATTCAAAGTGACCTGGTGACCTGACCTTGAAAGTTAGGAGGTTCAAACTTGCACACCATGTGTAAAATTGATAAGAGAATAGTCGTACCGAATTTCGCGGCGCTACGCGCCGCGGTTTTCCCGCTATTTGCTAAAAACCTCAGGGGGCGGATATCCACCCCCCCGTCGGTGCGCGTGTTAAATTATAGTTGGCTGGCAAGCACGGCGCTTTGTCTAGACGACCTACATTAGTGAGGTAAAATGTCCCAGTATACATGTAGGTCGCGGGGCAAGTCCGATGGGGCGCTACCCAATGTGCTGGTCGAACCACCCAACTTTTATATAACGTTGGGCAACTAGCGAACAGTGAGGCACTAAGTATTTCAATGTATTTTTATTCGCAAATGGATAGCAGCGGAGACGGCATTTAGTTAAAATTCGCATATCGATAATACACTATTTTGCTATGGGGCAAGTGGGACACCTGACCAGAACAAAGTGTCACAGCTGAACAGAGCATGATGGGATGGGAGGTGCTGGCTCAGCAACGTGATTCGGAAATATAACGGACCTCTCATATAAGATTAAGCCAAATACCATGTTCAATTTTAATCTCAAGAATGTCACTTCTTGTCCTAGGCTGGAGGCATTTTGCCCAAACGCCTCATTTGCAGTTGGCTTTACAAATCGCTTTTTAGTCAGAAATCCGATTACAAGTGACTTAATTTGAGCGATTGAATTTATATTAAAATGTCCAAAAAATACACTGAGCACTAGAGGTGGCAAAATGTGGACCCGAGGACCCGGTCCAAAGAACCAGTCTGGACCCATATGGGTCCAGACCGGTTCCTGGAAATTTTCTGACGGGTCCAACCGGGTCCTACCATAAACGGTACATCTTGCACACTACACATTATTGCAAAATATGAAGTGAATGAAGTGAATGTTTTTTGGCACACAGTAGCTCATGAGTATTCCCAGTGGGAAAAAGGCTGCTTTACATGATGCAACTAATGATACCTACAAGTAGTTTGTATTAATTGACTTTTGGGGAACGGGTCCAACTGGTTCCGATTCCAACTAAGACCGGGTCCGACTGGTTCCAGAAATGTCCAGCCGGGTCTGGTTCGAGTCTGGTTCCTAAAATTTTCATCTTTTGCCACCTCTACTGAGCACAAATTAGCCCTTTCAGGTGATGTGGGACAAAGGTTATTTAGGAAAATAAATAATTTGGGCAGCCTGCCCCAGTGGGAGTAAGCAGCAGGAGCCATGCAGGAGGACGATACCATGTGCGGCGGGCCGAAGCAGTGCAAATGGTTACCTAATGCCTGGCGTTGGATAATACCGTCTACCGAGCGCGATGTCCCTGCGGCCTGCCGTCTATCGTACCCGTTCCACTTGGTCTTGCGTAATGTATAAAACGGACAACAACATGCCGCATCAGTTGGACCACAGAAGCAAAACTTACAATCAGCCTCTTCTTCCATGGACGCATTTGTGATCCAAGTTCGGTTTCTTCCGTTGGGTGATTGGGCAGCCACAGGGTAAAAAAAGGAAGAAAAGTAAAACAGTATGCTGCGAAGTAAAGCAGGGTTTCATTACCTATTGATTTCTTTGAGATATTAGAGAGATAACACATAGGATGATATCGGGAAGATACGCTGCGCTCTTTGCTTACATGCATATTACCCATGACTATCTGGTAACATTTAAATTGCTTCAAATTAAAGTCCCTAGCTTTGTTGGCTTCAGAGACATGATGTTGCAACATATTGTCCTCCTCCCAACGATTCGTGTTGCAATTAGACCCAAGCGACTGTAATTGGTTGAATGCTGAGCTGAATTAAAGGGGACAATCATTGGAAATGGATGGCAATCCATTGCCAGTGTTGGACCCAAATATGAATTTAAGACTGCCTAAATTTGAGGCAGAGCGGTAAGACGGAACACCCGCCGGTCGGACACTGCAATCAGCACAATCCTACAAAGGGCTGCTGAAACTCGCATCAACTAAATCTGCGTGATGATCGTCGAATCGATTCACGGTCGTGAGCCTGTCAGACGGAGGCTTTTGCCGGGAACTGTCATCGTCTGGTAGT